TGATTCTCAGATCCCAATTGTAATTCCGTCCGTACGTGTAGCTGAGAAGTTGTCCAGGAAGAAGTCGGAGAGGTTCACTTATCTTGTTGCTGCTGTGATGTCCAGCTTTGGTATTACTTCCATGGCTGTCATGGCTGTTTATTACAGATTTTACTGGCAAATGGAGGTACCCAATTTCTCTCTGCTCCCTAAACCACAAAAGTTACGAACTTTATCTTCTCTGGTTGAGTTTTTGAATTGGGTGGTTTTGTTTTCTGTGTAGGGTGGGAATGTGCCTTTGTCTGAAATGTTGGGTACATTTGCTCTATCTGTTGGTGCTGCTGTAAGTTCACTGACTGTTTCTCAATTGGGGAAACTTAATTAAATTAAATTGATTTTGAAGTTTTTTCTTTACACTGAAAACTGCTAAATCGATTTGGATTTTATATATGTATATTTTAGGTGGGAATGGAGTTTTGGGCAAGATGGGCTCATAAAGCTCTCTGGCACGCTTCTTTATGGCATATGCACGAGGTTTGCTCCGAATTTTGCTACTTTTTGTTATCTCTTTGATGCCAACAAAATTTTGAGTTTGAAATTTTGTTTCTTTTCATTCCCTGGAAACCAGCAATGAAAGAAACATGACAAGCTTGAATTTTTATATTGTTTTGTTTTGTTTTTCCATTCAGTTTCTTAGCAACCAATCAGTGTTTGATATTTGATTTGAACTTTAATTGCAGTCTCACCACCGACCCAGAGAAGGTCCATTCGAGCTTAACGATGTGTTTGCTATAATTAACGCTGTTCCAGCTATAGCCCTCCTCAATTATGGTTTCTTCCACAAAGGCCTTGTTCCTGGCCTTTGTTTCGGTGCTGTAAGTCTCTTTCTCTCTCTCGCTCAGTATCTTTACTACGAATCCGTGTTTATTGCTTTATTAACGACTTTAATCGTAATTAATTGATGGGGATTATAAATTAATCCTCTTTAACAAAAGGACCTTGGAATTTTCTGTTATTGACAAATTGACTTTGAACAGGGTCTTGGAATTACAGTGTTTGGCATGGCGTATATGTTTGTCCACGATGGTTTAGTTCATAAAAGATTCCCAGTGGGTCCCATAGCCAACGTGCCCTATTTGAGAAAGGTTGCTGCTGCTCATCAGGTAAAATATCACACCGCTTATACAACACGAAATGATCACCACACACACACACACATACAAATTTACTTCCATAGTTCTTTACATTAATTTACTTCCATAATTCTTGCATAATGCAAGTTTAGGTAAGAACATGGGTTCTATTTGTATATTGTGGTCGAGCCATTTAATTATGAATTTCTCTTAAACTGAATCTAACTGTCAAGATTTTGTTTGATTTGAATGTTTTGGCTTCAGCTCCACCACTCAGAGAAATTCGAGGGTGTGCCATATGGGCTGTTTCTAGGTCCCAAGGTTCGTCTGCAATTCTTTAATGTTTACTCAAACAAAGTCTGTCTCGGTTGTCAAAATATTATTGTTAGTCAGGAGCTAAATTGGTATTATATTTTGTGTTTGATCTGGTGCAGGAACTTGAAGAAGTGGGAGGCCTCGAAGAGTTGGAAAAGGAGATCGAAAGGAGAATCAAAGCGTACAAGGGATCGTGACTTAGATTAAGTAGTTGATGGAACCTCATTTTCCACTTCCCCCTTGGATCAGAAATTTCAGTGTAGAAAAGTGATAGAGATAAATGAAATGGTTTTGTGATCATTTTTGTTTTAACAACCAAAATGCTGTGCTAGGGTTTTAGGCAACTGGGCTGCTTGAGTGTTTGCATTGCAATGAAGAAGAAGGGTATGTATATATGTATTTTTATGTTCGGGGGAATTTGTATTCCGTCCCGCGTATACCATGAAGTGTGAACAACTTTTTGTCATAGTACAATACTTTTTTGTTGTTACAAGACGGGAGTAACCGATAAAACAAGAAAAACTAACAGAGAACATTTCAGAGAAAAATCCGACTTTAATCTCTTATCATACAAGATAGAAACCAAAGAAATAGTGAATGCATCAAAACTATGCAAACCTAAAGACAATTTGTGCCTCATATCAACTAGATAATCAGCAATATGATTTCACTCCCTATAAACATCAAGTAGACAACAAAGCTACTCCTTTCCAAGAACCATTCCACAATGTGCATTTTCAATAGTTAAAAAGAGGAGTACGAATGTGCATTTTCAATATTTGTCTCTTTTTCCCCATTGAATCAAACAGATGAAGTTAAACCCATAAATTATCACATCCATGGTCCAATGGTATAACTTTTTGTTGTTGTTAACATTAGAGTTCAACGCTAGGGTTCAAACTGGGGTGCCATGTGGGAAAGGGTAAAGCCGCCACCACTGTGGTGGGAACCCATTGGCGTCCAATGGTATAACTTTCACTAACGTTATCGCATGTAAATTTTACACATAAATCATGCTTAGTAATTTGACCTAATATGAAAGGAGGTGTGAAGGGCAAAATTTGTTAGTAGGAATACCTCACAAATTATATGCATCCACATGTTGAAAGTTTCGAACATAAGGAAGAACATAGAGAAAATCTATAACAGAATCGTACATGTTGACAGTTTGATTGAGTTTTTTTTCGGTCCGAAGTTTGATTGAGTTTAAGCGTTGAAAGTTACTTATATGGTATGCTACTCTTAATGCTAATAATAGTTTGTCTGATCAAGGTCGTCGTTTTCAATGAACATGTTTGTGATTAAATTATGCAAAAGTTTTTGAGTTGAAATAAAGTAGATAGTCAGAGATAAATATCCAATAGCGTGAAGCCATGTGTATTGATAATACAAGTGCAGAGGAGGTAAACCCGAAACGAGTTTCGTTGGTGCTGACTCACTCAAGCATATAATGGACTCATGGTACTGCTGTTCCCTCCCGCGTACCGCCCATTTTCTAACTTTTGTTTGGTCATGCCAATTTCCCAATCTAATCCACTCTTCCATTCCAATATTAAAGACGCAACCTTAGTGGTTCATGCACTTAACTTTTGCAATTCATATACTCATTCCAATTTTCAATTGATTAAGACCAGCATTGCTTGGGCGCTAATGGATAATGACCCATTTCACTTTAAATATGTCAATCACAATGTGACATATTTCTAAAATTAACTCGTTATATATACGAACACTGTAGTTTGTCAATTACGAGGCAAATGTTTTTCGATTGAGACTTTTACTTTCTATGTTTGTTTAGTCATCAGTAGGAGTGTTTATATTTGAACTTTTCAATACATGAACAAGTCTAAAATCACCTAACTTATTTAAACTCGAGAAATTAAACAACTTTGGTCTATTGAGCATATTCTAATATTGCTTTCCGGCATCACCCTGCCTTTTATAAATAAATTTATTTAAACTCGAGAAATTAAACAACTTTGGTCTATTGAGCATATTCTAATATTGCTTTCCGGCATCACCCTGCCTTTTATTTAAATTTAAAAAAAAGTATGTTATCTTGATTTTGATATTGACGTTAATCCCAACATTAAAGGAAAAATAAAAAATAAAATAAGAAAGTGCATGACAATGATGATGTAAGACTCCAATAAATTGAATAATTGTATTGTTGGGATAGCTGAGCTGACCTTCAATTGAGGGAGAAACTATTTGTCGTTGAAAAAAACGTATTCATTTAGTTGTCCCAACTCAAAACATTCAATTTGGTTTTGTCCTGTCCTGTATGATTTTAACTCGATTTAATGAAGTTTATCTTTGATTTCCAAAAAAAAAAAGAACAAAAAAGTTGAAGTAAACTCAATTTCAGTTCAATAAGTTATTGATTCGGGTTGAAAATGGATAATCCAAATTGATCAAACTGAGCTAAGTCATGGTAATATATCATTAAATCTGAGGCCAAGCCAAAGAGATTAGAGATTAGGTCGGTAAGGCCAGGTGGCTTCATATCGTTGATGATTTCTTTTTAGTATTTTTGGTCTCCATAATGTTATTGCATTATTATGTAGGCAGAGTCGGCGGAATTGCACCACGGTTTAACCAAACAAATAGACAAGCAATTCGTGTGGGGAGAGGTGGGGCCTTTGGAATTGGGCCCCCATGTAGGTCAGCTGGTCTCCCATTTCCGTCAGTTATGATTTCATGAAAAGGTTCTTGCATTCTCCGCAAGCCACGTCTGGTTAAAACTTAAAAACGCTTGGAGAGGTGGCAAATTGAATTATTCATTTGATCGCTCTTTTTTTGACCAAGTCAGTGTTGTTTATGTCCGTTCTCATCAGTTGGGTTGGGTGCAATTGGACACAAAAATTATTAGGTGCCCACTGCCCATGGTGTATCCTCTTTATCCCACTATATATAAAGAGTATAGCAGATGGACTATACTTTTTTTTTTTTAAAGAATTTAAAAAAAAATTCAGAAAAACAGGGTATAGCCGTGCGGCTATACTATTTATACAAAAAATAAAAATAAAAAACGAGTATAGTTTATTAAAAAAAGGAGAGGACCCCACCGGTTAGGCACCCACGTGTCAAAATAAGTACGGCTATACTACTTTTTTAAAAAATAAAAAAACCACGTATAGCCGCCCGGCTATACTATTTATATTAAAGAAAGAACGTGTCCAAGTAAGTATAGCCGTTCGGCTATACCATTTTTAAAAAACCGAGCATAGCCGGTTAAAAAAAGAGGACCTGCCTTGTGATAGTGTCCAAGTAAGTATAGCCGTGCGGCTATACTATTTTAAAAAAATTATTTAAACAAAAAAAACTGAGTATACCATTTTTATTTTTATTTTTTTTTAAAGAGAGGACCCCATCGATTTGTCGCATTCCTTTGAAAAACCCCTCATTCCAAACTTCGGGGAAAAAATAACCTAAGAATGAACATTAAAAAAAAGTCTTTTGGTATGTTGCAAAAGTATTGGGCCCTCTTAGGGTTATTGGTAAAGGAGTATTGGACCGATTTCTTCCTTGAATAAATGGCGGTAATATATTGGGCCTAATCTCTTCGAACCTTTTTTTACAGTCAAAATAGCCGTATCCATATCTCTGAGAATCCACGATCCTACTTCAAAGCCGCCACTTTCCCGGGAAAATCACTGTATCACACAATGAAATTCCCGGCATTATCGACGTCCAAAACCCTCAATTTTCCCGCCAATCTTATCGAGAAACAGAAGATTCCCTTTCAGATATTTCTACGGAAGATCTCCGTCCAGGGCAAAACCAATCGCAGTGTTAAATCCGTGCAAGCCTTGAGTAAAAACAACAGTGGTAGCATCTCAATCGCAACGACGGTCACGGAGGAGAGAGATCGATTATTTGATAGTTTGAGAAATGAAAAGGGTTGGATTCACTTTGTGGGTATTGGAGGTTGTGGGTTGTCTGCGCTGGCCATGCTTGCACTCAAACAGGTGAAGCTTGATTGCAGCCCTATATGTTTGCTTTCTGAGAAAATGGTGTATAATGATAGAAAATGAAAGAAAACAAACAACCCTTATAGAAGTCTTGCTTTGTTGTTGAGTAAACAAGTGGTAAGTGAAGGAAAATTGAAATTTAGGATTGTCAAATGGAGCTTCCTTTAGTAACTTAACAAAGTGAAAGCATGGTGGAAGGTTAAGGAAACTATCTTATTTGCTCAAACTTGTATATAATTTGAAATCTTTGTTTCTTTAGGTTTTTTATTTTCTCTGCAGATGTCAAGTATTAGAATGTCATCTGGCTTGGCTCTTAATTGTTAATGTTAATGAGTGTAATATACAACTGAAAACTGGACTATTTCTAGGTTTCTTGAATTGTATTTTTTTTTCGCCTGTAGGGTTATGAGGTCAGTGGCTCCGATATTGAATGGAGTAGCTTCATGGATGGGCTACAGGAAGCAGGGGCACTTTTGCATATAGGTCATTCCGTGGAAAATATGCAAAGGAACGCTGCCTCAAGATTACCTGACGCCATTGTTGTTTCTAGTGCTATTCCCCAACACAATGTGGAGATTTTGTATGCAAAGTCTGTTGGAGTTCCCGTGTGAGTACTTCCTGTTCAATTTGGCATTTGATGTACTACGCACGCTCTGAACTTCCTTTGGCTTGTGATTTATGAGGCTTAGAAACTGTTTGTATCAGTTCCTATGCTAAACGATAACCATGGATGCCATATTGTTTATCACGTATGCCACTTTAACAGTTTAGTGTTTGCCTATCGAAGTAATGCTACGTTTACGTTAGTTGTTCTTCTTGATTTCATATCATAACCCCTTTCTTTTACAGGTACAAGCGAGACCATTGGTTAGGAAAGCTGACACAGGGCTACAATCTCATTGCTGTAAGTGGGAGCCATGGTAAGAATTTGTCCAAGCTATTATCCTCATCAATCAAAGTTAACATTGTCTACAAGTTTAAGGGTTTATGGAATGTCTTTTCTGATCTATCTATATTAATTTTTTATTTTTTATCTAGTTAAAAATGTAAATAAGTTGGGTGGTTTCCCTTTCCTTTTGCTTCAGTAAAGTGAAATGTGATTCCTATTTTTTTTTAAAAACATATAGTGAAATGTGATAGGGTTATATGCTTGGTTGTGATCTTCCCAAAAATACTAAGTTTGCATGCCTAGTATCAAATTTTAAAACGGATATACTATGATAATTATAATAGCGATCCAATCATGGTCAAATCTAACATACTATTAGCTTGCCTTCATTTTCTTAATGCTATTAATGTTAATGATGAATACTTATAGGAAAGAGTACAACTGCAAGTATGCTTGCTTATGTTCTAGACGGCATGGGTGATAATCTTACAGCAGTAGTTGGAGCACATGTGCCGCAGGTATCATTCTTCTCTATGCAGCTTTGGTGAAAAGATGAACGTTTCAGATGCAATAGTAATGCATCTCTTTCTTGTATGGTCCATTCACCATGTTTAAACCATAGTTTTCTCCTTCTTTTGAACTAGAATCTGTAATAAATTCTTAAGATGAGTAGCTCAAATTGACTTTCTATCATTAGATGTTGAAAATGATTACAACTTTCTTTTGCAGTTCTCAGGAGGAAACATTATCTTCGGTGATGGTTGGAATTTTGTCCTGGAGGTATACTTTTTCATGACAGGGTTGAGTTTTTAATGAGTTGCATGAGCTTTGAAAACCATGCAAGGATTACATGTATACTTATTAAGGAATAAGGTGGTAAATGGTAATAGTATGATGTACAAATGACTGAAGATATCTAATATTTAAATCCCATTCATATAACAATGAATAACAATCACTTATCAGTAGAAATAAACGATATTTGGTTAAGTTTTTACTATTTAATACTTATTCTCTCCTTTCTGTAAGCAACCATCAATTCCATGTTCATAAAGATTGTAGCTTACACACATAATTTGTGTTTGTAATAGGCTGATGAATATGATGGTTGCTTCCTGGGACTATCACCTTATATAGCTATCGTAACAAATTTGGATTGGGAGCATGTTGATATATTTCAAAACGAGGAGGCAGTTAAAGCTACTTTCAGAAAATTCCTGAGTCGAATCAGGGTGGGTGGACATCTCATTTTATGTGGGGATAGGTACGTTGCTCTACTATTTTGGCAGCATATTGCATTTTGGTGCAGCAGATAAGTTCAAGTGGTAGGCATTCTAGAAGAGCAACATTTGCCTAAGTCATGCATCATATATCTGAGCTGCTCTAGATTTACTTGTTTGTCCGGTAGTTGCTCAACTCTCATTTCATATGCAATTAGACTTAAGACTCTGTATGAGTTTGGTTTAGTCTATTGGTAGTGCTTGCATGTATTGGTTATTGAATATAGTTGTCTAATGTATTTTGCCTCCCCATATAAGCTACATATGTAATTTTAATTTTTTTTTGGTATATTTTCTTTAAAAAAAATCCGTTTTCAATAGTGAAGGTGCATATTCCTTGCTGACTGATGGAAAGCAACCAATTGGATCGCATAATTGGCGTGGTCTAAGGTCAAGGCCATTGGAAAAATGTTCTGACAGCTACAACATAACAACTTATGGAACCACAAGTTTTAATGATTGGCATGCATCATCAATTAGGCCAAACTTAAAGGGTGGTTGTGATTATACACTGGTATGTAAAGATGGTTTCTTTTCAGGTCCGGGATGCTCCTCTGTTCTTTACGTTATTTTGTTTCTTCTGGAAAAATGATGATGTATGAAACTTAAGTGCATATTCTCTTCCCTGGTTAATCACTCTCTCTCTCCCCTGTAGTGTCATCAGGGGTGCTCTGTGGTAGACATCAGTCTACAGATTCCAGGAGTTTATAACGTCCTTAATTCATTAGCAGTGAGTAGCATACCATACTGAGTATAGTGTTTCTCATCACATTTCTTTTGTGAGTTATATTATAACCATAATATCTTTCTAATTGTAAGCCAAACATCTAACAAACATTAGGTTAGGTTGATTCTCATTGTATTAGTGACATATTTCTTTTCACCAATTAGTAAGATTGAACTATTGAAGTCCTGTAACTTAATGTCTCTTGTAATCATGCTGTATTATGCAGGTTATTGCCACTGTTGTAACATTATTCAGTGACCAAAGTCCAATTAGCAATACAATTAATCGCGTGAGCTTGCACTTAAACAATTTTATAGGCATAAAAAGGCGTTTTGAGATGATTGGCACAATATACGGATGCCATATATATGATGATTATGCTCATCATCCAACGGAAGTTAGTGCAGTTATTCAAGCTGCACGCCAGAGGTTCCCTAACAAGTCTCTTTTGGTGGTATTCCAGCCTCATACTTACAGGTATTCATCAACATGAGAACAATTGAGAGTTTCTTTTAGCACATTTTCTAGCATCATTAGCACGATCCATATAATTATGCGAGACTGTTTGATGATAATTTTGCAGTCGTTTAGCAGCACTGAAGGATGACTTTGCGAATGCCCTCAGTGATGCAGATCAAGTTGTAGTTACAGGGGTAAGATGTCTTGGCACAAAGTCTTTGCATTATCTGATAACCAAAGGGTTAACTGGTTTGATGTCTGATATCAGGTTTATGCTGCTAGAGAAATAGATGAGCAGAGTGTTGGTGGAAGGGAGTTAGCTGCTACTATAATTGGCCCGCCATCTGAATACATCCCCACTCTGGTAATACTGAATTTTAAGTTTCTTTAAGATTCAATTATGCCTGGAAAGAGCAAGGAAAATATGAATTTTAAAAGCTGAAATATTACATATCGGGATCAAATGAAACCCCATTAATGCTCTAGATGGTTACAGGATGATGTGGTAGATAAGTTGGCATTTCAGATATCCGGGAAACCTCATTGGAATATCGTTGTTTTAACACTTGGAGCGGGTACTGAATCTTTATGTCGCTAATGTCATATCATCATGGTCCATGAAAGAAGGGACAAATTTTGAAATAGAACTTATGAGTGTATAATTATTTGATTTATTCAGGTAATATAACTACGGTGGGCCCAAAGCTGCTCTATGAATTGCGAAGAAGACTACAAGTAAATTCTTAGCTTGCTCCAGCAGCTGCATTTCGATGGCTTCGTTCAATTTGGAGATTCAGGGGTGGATGTTTCAGTACCAAGACGCCCAAAACTTGAGATGTTTCAGTAAACCCCGTTGGTAACCAAGTCATTTTGCATGCCGTGAATTTGGTTTGATGGATATGCAACCACGTGAAAAGAGAGTTGTTATTGAGATGGTTTTTGGAGGAAGTAAAAAGCTTTCATCTTGGCTGAAAGAGATCACCATCTAATCAAAACGTACTCTCCACTTTCAATCCACAAAAAGATCCTATAGTGAATGTTTCTAGCAGATGAAAGACATCATCAGAACTTCGTGGTACTGTTGACATCATGAGAGTGACTGAGGTAGCAAGAAAGTTAAGCCTTCATCTATCAAATGATACTGTTGACATCAGGCATGAACTTTTCAACCCACAAAATGCAAGAAACAGGTACTAATTCTCCTTGTTTCTCAATCTAGTAAATACAGCAGCAAATAATTGCAAAAAAGAATGAACCTAGCGAGGTAACCAAGAAGCAGCAGCTCAGATGATCTCATCAAAGAGTTACAGTTACTTGCATTCTCTGAAAACAAACTAGAATTCTAAAATCTAGCTAGCTACCAATAAGAGAGAAACACAACACAATCATAGAATTGAAACTTCACTCACCCACTCTGTACACAGCTTCTTACTTTCCTCTAATCTTGATCAATCATCTGCAGATGAAACATATGCAAAGAATACGTGCAACCTCCATACATGATAAAGCTCATAAATTTGGAGCAATATCACTTCAGAGAATAAAAAAGGGTAAAACTCCTAGCCAAAAAAGGAGAAAAAGCCGCGCTTCTTCTTTGGCTCTTCCTCAACCATGACAGCCTTCATGCTGTCCTGCTCAACAAGCCTCCATGCTGCCTGCTCGAAAGCCAGTCCAGCCAATGTGGGCGGCCTATTCAAAACCAGAGGGTACCCTCTGTTGGTGCTTCTGATTACCTCCGTATCCTCCGGTATCATCCCCAACAATGCCAAGCCCAACATCTCCTGCACATCCAGCACCGACATCATATCCTCACCTTTGATCATATCGGTCCGAACCCGGTTCACCATCATCTTGATATCCCTAATTCCGTCACACTCCAGCAACCCAATGACTCTGTCAGCGTCTCTCAAGCTCGTGATGTCCGGCGTGGTCACGAGCACGGCCTCATTGGCCGGCGTAATGGCGGTGATGAACCCGGCATCGATGCCTGCCGGGCAGTCGATGAGAATGAAGTCCGGGCAGCCCTCCTGCCTGGCTTTCAAGGCGTCGACGACCCAAACCAAGGCTTTGCCGCCGAACCCCATCGGCAATTTCGACCTGGGCTTGGAGATGCAGAGCAGCTCGAAGTTGGACCAGCGCTTGTCTCTGACTAGAGCCTGGTCGAGCCTGCAATCGCCGTTGAGCACCTCGACGACGGTGTAGTTGACGCGGTTCTCGAGGCCGAGGAGGAGGTCGAGGTTGCGGAGGCCGACGTCGGCGTCGATGGCGACGACAGAGAAGCCGAGGCGGGCAAGGGAGAGGCCGACATTGGCGGTGGTGGTGGTCTTGCCGACGCCGCCTTTGCCGGAGGTGATGACGACGACGCGGGGGGTATCGCCGGACAATTGGGGCTTCCTATTGTATTGGAGGACGGAGCGAACAGTGAATGGGGAAGAAGGGTTGGGTTTTAGGGTTTTGGGTTTAAAGGGGTTTGTATTGGTGAGGAAGGAGGAGGAGGAGGAGGAGGAGGGCTTGGGATTGATGACGGTGGGGAGTTGAAGAGAGAGCATTGCGCCTTCTATGGCCCCTTTGGTTAAGGGGAGATCATCAAAACAAATGGAAGTTGAAGAAGAAAAAGATGAGCATGTCCTTTGGTGGAGGAGGAGACTATTGTTGAGTGAGTAGAGAGAATTTGAGTTGTGCGAGAGAAGGGCAACTGTTAAGTCTAAGATAAGAGAAGATTTATTTATTTATTTCTTATTTAATGGACGAATTAATTTTCCAGATTTAGCGATTCACACTCAAAACTTGCAAAATCAATCAATTTTAATCTTTCAATTTTTTTAATTTTTTGTGTGTGCCAAAGTTAAGAAATAAAAGGAGAAACTCAACACGTATTGGTACCGTGAAGGAGCGTGTTAAAGTTTTTAGACTAATAATAAGTAAAATTTTATTTTTTCTTCATCATAGACTCATTCAAATGCGAAAGAGGACAAATGTTGGCAGATGCGGCCATGGTAGTAAGTCCGTCTCCTTGTACTTAAGTTCTGGCCCGATCCCTTAGAGCACGTCCACCCATTTGTCATGGCAAAGGGCAAGGGCAAGGCAATGGCTGTTACTATTTATATGAATAGTGGCAGCCCTTGCAAAAGGTTGTAGTGTTTTCACCAATTGCCATGGCAACCACTATTCACATGAGATATAAGGAGATGAATTTGTATAGAGTTTTGGTATGGGAAGTAAATAATATAACTAAGTATTTATTTTAAAAAAAATTCTAGAATTTTTTGTAGATTTTTTTCAATATTTTTAAATCTAGGCTAGGGCATGGGCTCATTTTGCCTAAGCCTGGCCTGGTTTCGTGGGCTCAAGCAACTGCCCTGGCAACTTCAGTCCGCTGGAACACGAATTTGGGGCTTGGGCCCCCTCCTGCCCTGGCAAAGGCTAACGCTGGAACCGCTCTTAGGGCCAGTTTGACATTGTTGTGCTGTGAAAATAATCGCTGTCAGATTTGCTGTGAGAGAAATCAGCTGTGAGAGAAAGCAGTTTGGTGTTTGGTAAACTTTTGGTTAAAAGTGTTGTTGGTACTGATTCCCGCATAATCAAAAAATTATTCCTGTATAATTATTAAACCCAGCGCCTCTTTGAAATTGATTCCGGCATAATCAGAAAATGAAAGCACCTTATTAGCTGTTTTCCCTTATAGCTTTCTCTCACAGTAATTTTTAATAATAAGTGATTTTCTCATAATTTACCAAATGGGTTGGGCTTCCAAATTTTTTTAAAAATCACTTATCACCCCAAATAAGCAATGCCAAACGGGCACTTAGTAGATTAGATTAATATAATTTACTTTAGACTATCAAGGTAAATTGAGAGATAAGGTATTTTGTCGTTTTCTTTGGAGTAGTTGGGCCAAAAGCTTAAAAACAACAAAAAATGAAATAGGGCCGAGCCGGTCTTGTGTAGGAACAGGCCTAATATTAGAGGTGTCAAACGGGCCGTGCCGGGCCGGCCCGTCCCATTTAAACTCGTGCTTTTAACATTTTCGTGCCGTGTCGGGCCGGCCCATTTAACTTATCGGGCCGTGCCGTGCCAGCCCATTTAGTAAAATCATAAATCCCAGCCCAGCCCAAAGCCCATGTCCAAATTGAAAAGGGCCGGGCCGGGCTCGTGCCGTGCTCATGCCTTACTCGGGCTCAAGAACCAGCCCATTTAATTTGAATTTTTTTTTTCCCTGTCTCGAGGCCGAGGAGGAGGTCGAGGTTGCGGAGGCCGACGTCGGCGTCGATGGCGACGACAGAGAAGCCGAGGCGGGCAAGGGAGAGGCCGACATTGGCGGTGGTGGTGGTCTTGCCGACGCCGCCTTTGCCGGAGGTGATGACGACGACGCGGGGGGTATCGCCGGACAATTGGGGCTTCCTATTGTATTGGAGGACGGAGCGAACAGTGAATGGGGAAGAAGGGTTGGGTTTTAGGGTTTTGGGTTTAAAGGGGTTTGTATTGGTGAGGAAGGAGGAGGAGGAGGAGGAGGAGGGCTTGGGATTGATGACGGGGGGGGGTTGAAGGGAGAGCATTGCGCCTTCTATGGCCCCTTTGGTTAAGGGGAGATCATCAAAACAAATGGAAGTTGAAGAAGAAAAAGATGAGCATGTCCTTTGGTGGAGGAGGAGACTATTGTTGAGTGAGTAGAGAGAATTTGAGTTGTGCGAGAGAAGGGCAACTGTTAAATCTAAGATAAGAGAAGATTTATTTATTTATTTCTTATTTAATGGACGAATTAATTTTCCAGATTTAGCGATTCACACTCAAAACTTGCAAAATCAATCAATTTTAATCTTTCAATTTTTTTAATTTTTTGTGTGTGCCAAAGTTAAGAAATAAAAGGAGAAACTCAACACGTATTGGTACCGTGAAGGAGCGTGTTAAAGTTTTTAGACTAATAATAAGTAAAATTTTATTTTTTCTTCATCATAGACTCATTCAAATGCGAAAGAGGACAAATGTTGGCAGATGCGGCCATGGTAGTAAGTCCGTCTCCTTGTACTTAAGTTCTGGCCCGATCCCTTAGAGCACGTCCACCCATTTGTCATGGCAAAGGGCAAGGGCAAGGCAATGGCTGTTACTATTTATATGAATAGTGGCAGCCCTTGCAAAAGGTTGTAGTGTTTTCACCAATTGCCATGGCAACCACTATTCACATGAGATATAAGGAGATGAATTTGTATAGAGTTTTGGTATGGGAAGTAAATAATATAACTAAGTATTTATTTTAAAAAAAATTCTAGAATTTTTTGTAGATTTTTTTCAATATTTTTAAATCTAGGCTAGGGCATGGGCTCATTTTGCCTAAGCCTGGCCTGGTTTCGTGGGCTCAAGCAACTGCCCTGGCAACTTCAGTCCGCTGGAACACGAATTTGGGGCTTGGGCCCCCTCCTGCCCTGGCAAAGGCTAACGCTGGAACCGCTCTTAGGGCCAGTTTGACATTGTTGTGCTGTGAAAATAATCGCTGTCAGATTTGCTGTGAGAGAAATCAGCTGTGAGAGAAAGCAGTTTGGTGTTTGGTAAACTTTTGGTTAAAAGTGTTGTTGGTACTGATTCCCGCATAATCAAAAAATTATTCCTGTATAATTATTAAACCCAGCGCCTCTTTGAAATTGATTCCGGCATAATCAGAAAATGAAAGCACCTTATTAGCTGTTTTCCCTTATAGCTTTCTCTCACAGTAATTTTTAATAATAAGTGATTTTCTCATAATTTACCAAATGGGTTGGGCTTCCAAATTTTTTTAAAAATCACTTATCACCCCAAATAAGCAATGCCAAACGGGCACTTAGTAGATTAGATTAATATAATTTACTTTAGACTATCAAGGTAAATTGAGAGATAAGGTATTTTGTCGTTTTCTTTGGAGTAGTTGGGCCAAAAGCTTAAAAACAACAAAAAATGAAATAGGGCCGAGCCGGTCTTGTGTAGGAACAGGCCTAATATGGAGGCCCAGGTTTGCCATTACCAAGTGTAAAAACTCTCTACATCACAGTCCTACCTTCTTATTCATGTAGCTAGTCCAAACCGTTGGATCTAAAGACAAGTGTTTTCAGATCTATAATCTGAGCCGTCAAATAAATAAGCCAATAGAAATATTTTGACGGAAAGCAAGTGACACCATGGATTTCGATAGAGCCAGCCAACCAGGCCCCAACCTAATCCAAAAGACAAAGAAAAGTCAGATATTCTAGATTTACCCTTCAGACCAACTCGGGCCATCTTCCCTCCACGCGTCGCAGTCCCATTCGTAATTTACACGATTACCCCCTTCACTCTCTCTCTTTCTATGTGGTCGGTTATTTCCCTCTGTTATGAAATTTTCACTTTCGTTTCTTACACAACTCTGTTTCTCTGGATCCAAACGCTTCCAATTTCTTCCGGTTTCTGCTTTCCACGGATGACTTACAAAGCTCGAGGCCCTTTCCTCTAGCTCTCATTCTAATCTGGTTTGCTTTCTCTCTCTCTCTCCCACTCATCGTCTTTAATTTCGTGTATCTATATTTGCATTTAATTGTTGATATTTGGTTTCGATTTATGTTTCTAGATTAATGGGTTTTTGGATCTGATTTTTATGGAAGTGGTTAATACTGTTAGAATTTGATGTTTCTGTATCGGAACTGATATATAGATCGCACGATTGTACGTATGGATTTGTGATGAACTATTGTAACTCTGTTGATTTTTTGTGCGGATCTATTTGGTGAAGTGCGGATTTGAACAAATTATATACCACCATCTGTTTGGATGAAGAGAAAATTGAATGAAAGTTCAATCGATGGTCTGAAATTTGGCCTCTGTTTTGTGATTTTGTTCCCCAGTTATTGAATTGAGTGATAAATTATTCATCGGTTTGGTCTTATTCCATCATCTCACCAATATAATGGAAGATTGGATTGGTTTAGATTTGTTGCTCAGCAATGATACTGTTATCTCCGGACCTTGGTAATTCATAATTGAAGCTGTGTTTCGAGTTGACTCACTGGGTATCTCTTGTTTTTGCGAACCCTTTGCCTACTCTGGGTTCGGAGCTTTGTTACTAGCAAGGATTAGATGGATATCGTACACGTCTTTTAAAGGATTGTTAATTCAATAATTTCTGAAGATTTTTTTATCTAGCTTGATTGTGAGGTCTCAGGTGATGTTATTTAGATCTAATTTTAGGTTAGATAGGTCTCTTTCCCGGGAAGTTTGACTTCACCTTAAATTATGACAACTATATTCAGGGAGTTATCCCTGATATATGTTGCCTGCGTTTTACAGCATGTGTGTGTACCTGTCTCTCATAGGTCATATATCTATACTTTTGTGTGCATCTAAACATGTGTACCAGGGTAGAAGTTTTGGTTTCAATCATGACTCTTTACTTTCTCTGCAGCAGTGAAGGCCATGTGAGCTGTTTGCAACAGATTTTGATTATTGCTTCGACAATTGGTATTTGATGATCAGTTCTTTTAGTATGCTCCAGATGGGTAAATGCAAAGGTTGTGGGAAATTAGGAAGAATGATGCCAAGGGGGGGATCTGTGAGTGCATATCAATTTTCCCTTCTGTTGTCGCCTGTTGTTTCTGTTTGGGATTGCATCGTTCGCAAAATGAGGTACTCCTACAGACCTGAGTGGGTGTAGTTGTCAGGATTATAGTAATACATTAGTTTTCAACAAGAAAATTAATTAAATTTATTTAGTAATATAGAAAAGTAAGGGAACACAGTTATAGGGAAATGTATACACTTTAGAGGAATTCTGAAAGAAAAGTTAAACAAAGGCATCTGTTTAGAGGTCGTTAATCTGAATGGATAACATGGAGTGTAATAAACTGCAACCTGTTGTGAGAAAAGTTAAGAAGAAGCAGGTGAAGGACGAGTTGGATCGTCAAAAACAGGCTGAGAAAAAGAAGAGGCGCTTGGAGAAAGCCCTTGCTACTTCGGCTGCCATCATTTCTGAACTAGAAAAGAAAAAACAAAAGCAGAAAGAAGAGCAACAGAGGCTTGATGAAGAAGGTGCTGCAATTGCCGAGGCTGTTGCACTGCATGTTCTACTTGGTGAAGACTCAGATGAGACATGTGAAATTGTTCTGAACAAAGACGAAGTGCTCAATCCTTGGGATTGTCCTGGCGATATTGACGTCTTTATGGCTGGACGGAGGGCATGCTTTCCTTATCAGGACTCTGCAAAGTGTTCACTTGAAAGGATTGGGTGGGTCTCTAATGCTTACAGATCGGGATGCAAGTGGGGTGGTTTGGGGAACAGTCAATTGTCTTTCTCATCTGGGCCTTATGGAAGGGATTACCATGAACAATTTTGTGAGGAAGCAGGTTGGGGGACTACGGGATTCGCTGCTGGTCTCATTGCAGCGCAAGCTGTTTCATCTCTTCAGATTGCAGAGGAAGCACATGAAGGCACAATGGTGCTTGATGGGATGCTAAGACGGTAGACAGACATTTCAGTCAAGTTATCATGTTACTGGAAGAGGCGCGTTGGCTGAATTTCGATAATGATGTTCTGTATATAATTTCACGAATGTGTTTAGGTGGTTTATCTGGTAAACGTATCTTCTTCAGCTTGGACAATGTTGCATGACATGCTCTTTCGTTTTTCTTCTAAAATTCTCTTCTAGAGGCTGCGATATTTTTACGTGCAGTGTAAGCTGACTCGTCTTTCTGATATTTTTGTGGAGTGTATTATTAAACTAGTGTAGTTTCAATCGTGAATTATGTTCAGATATTTTCTGGTGTATGACATACTGTTATTAACGAATTTCCAGTTTCGATGCGATTGGGGCATGCTGCTAATAATAATTTGTTATTTCAAAGAGTTGCTTGTTGCCAATATTGTTGGTGATTTTGGCCTGACCCTCAACCTTTCTTCTCAGTTTCCCTGATTTCGTCTAGGGTCTCGTCGGACAAAAGGGATGATGCCTATAGCTTAGTTTTCGCATTATGCATGACACAAATAAAAACACAATAGCCATCCTTGCTTAGACATTGAGTTAATTATCACTTTGGTCTCACTTGAATGGACCGTAAATTCTCGAGACAACAGTTTTAGCGAAGAGTGTATTTGTATGGGTGTGAACTCATATTCATAAAATCCATTTAAATCACCAAACCAGTCAAATTACAGATGACGTCCCTTACAACGGTAGTGGATAGTTTTCCCCACTCAGAGAGCTAGGGCTCTGATAATACAGAGCCGATGATCAAACTTGGCCAAACACATTCACAAGTGCTTTCCTAACTCTACGGAAATTAATCAATCAATCATGTAATAAAGCAACTACAAGTTGGGCAATCTATTGAATATATATACTCCAGTTTGGGCAGATGAATGAGCATAATTCTGTTCAGCGACAAAAGAAATTTTTCATTGATACGCAATGAATTTAACTAGCGGTACACATGGTAACATGTCCTCGGAGTTACAATCTCAAGTGGTACGCCATGTATATGATTTCTGCCGAGGCGGCGACTCTGCATCTGATTGCTGGTGGTGCCGAAGTACATCCTCTTCCTTATTCTCAATTTCTGTACTACTGGATGGTTTTGCTCCTGTAGTGATTAGGTTTTTAAACCAAGCTGCTTGAAATTTAGGAGTGCCTCTGGTTGAATTTCCAGTAGACTCGGGAGCAGCTATGGCATTGTTAGTAACACCCGCAAGGAAACGATATGCCACTTTGCTAGCAGATACAATCTCTGTCTTGGCTTGTCTGAACTGCAACAACCCAAGAAAACTATCAGACTTATATGCACTCAAGCAACCAGAAGTATAAAAAATTATCATAAATAAATTACTGGGCACACTAGATTGCAGACAAATTAAGATTGAGAACATAAGGGTTAAGCCACATCTAAAGCCACTACAAGTTCAGGCAAAACAGAAAACATAGTGGGCCATACGTAGTTAACTTCAAATTAAAAACATCAGTAATGATAGTCTCTGCATGGGACTCTTGTGGATATGTTTAAGATTAAATTTGCTGCAATTTGCCTCTTCCCAAGAAAGATAAAAATGTCAAGTATCTTATTTACATAAAACTTGGCACACTAAAAAACCTAAGGTTGGTTGCCTGCAACCACAAGCTTGAAAATTTGAATTGAATCAATGTATGCACTAAGCACATGATAGGCAATGAAAACCAGAGTTAAAGTATGGATTAGAATCAGTACTTTTACAGAAGAGGATCCAATGAATTGGTAATGACAGACTTCAAGGAGCATAAATGGCTCTGAAAGATAAGTTTTTCTTCAGGGATATTATAACAATAGTGCATTCTGCATAAATTACTCACCCGTATTGCTGTATTACCCGCTACTTCCATTGCAGCATCACCAGCATGGGCAAAACGATTAACCCAACCTGTTGAAGAAGCTATAAGAATGCATGCCAGATAGTAATTTACAACTCCATTTTCAAATCCAAAGGCACAGTAACACTAAGATCATAACTTCACAACTTAACCCTTTCATCTCCCCCCATCCCCCGTAACACACACGACCAATTTAGAAGAAAACTCAATATTAAATTAGCTATATCGATCACGCTTGCTACGTTCGTATCTTCAAGTTCGTGATAAAACATGAAAAGAATACATAAACCACAACAATTTCTGGTACTAGTCAACCAAAAAAGCAGTAAGCATAATGCAAAAACAGACACAAAGCACACATTGTACAAGACACAGATAAATCAGGCTTGAAATAAAGCTTGCAGGTTCAATACACTATCAATAATGTCAACTAAAGCAATGGAGCAAGGGGCATGAGTGCATCTTTAACAGCACATTTTCCAAGACAAAATATATGTGCAGGTCAAATTTTAATAGGACATAGTTTTCAAACATGACATCAATATATAAATAGAAAGACAATGATATGAACTGACTAAAAAAGACTAATTAATCTGCCTGTTCCGCTCTCCAAGGGTTGGCTACAAAAATCTTCTTTACTCCCAAGAAATAGCTTAAACTCATCAAGTCCGGAAACAACTATAAACTTTTCTCTCAAGATTGTAAACCAACAGAGATTTGGACCAACAACCAATTTGCATATCAATAGCAACCCATCAAACAAAAGGGAGTCACACTAAGGCAACTAATTAAATTCATCTATCAGAATGTTCCAATAGAACATACACCATCTATCAGGCAATCAACTTGGACACTGACACATCATTGACCCTTGTACTTATGTTTGGTCAAGTAATCTTTCAATTGCAAGAAAAAAGCATTAAGCTTGAGAATTGCTAGTAAAATAACAGATCTCATAACGTTACCTGGAAGCTTTGGCACCCCAAGCCTTTCAGAGAACTCATCACAAAAGTGGTTGCAGTTTTTTGATAACAGGTCATATGAATATCCAGGCCACTCTCTACTGAGTTCCCTCAAGATTTGGTTAACCTTGAAAATTGAACAAGCTGTTGTTCCAAGGGTGATGCATTCACGATAGGTGTACATAGGATTTTTTCCAGAAGGGCAACTAAAAACACCAGATCCTTGTTCACAGAACCCAAATGACCATTCATCCTCTCCATAAACCTATCAAATAAAGCATAAACAATTATGATCAGATCTTTGTACTATAAAGAAGATACCACACAAGAATAATGCTTGTCTTTGAAAATATAAGCAATGAAAACTCAACAAAAAAGGCACTTCCATCATACTGAGAAACATCTATTGAGCAAATCAGCAACTAATGAGCACCCAGGATCAAGCTGAACTCAACCACACCTCCGTACTTTAAAATCCAGGGAAAATCTAATATCACTAAATTGCAAAATTTCATTATTCAGTTTAAAATCTCCATCAAAGATGTACAATAAATTAAGCAAATCAGTAACTACTGAGGACCACATAAACCCTAGATATTCAATCAGAGTGAATACACAGGTCATTTCTCCAACCAATATAATAAATACACAAGAATCAAAGTCAAAATTCGCAACTGCCTCAACCAAAAGGAAGGTAAAAAAACCTAGATCTCTCCTATGAATTCACAGCACTCCAAGATTACACCAGCCAACTAGCCATTACATGTGTACTTTCGGATTACATACATGCATACATGTGCATGTGTGAGAGTAGAGAGAGAGAGAGAGAGAGAGAGAGAGAGAGAGAGAGAGAGAGAGAGAACCTGTATGGCGCTGTGGAAGATACCGCCGAGGCCGATACCGTCCTTGAAGATCTTGTTGATCTGAAGAATGGTGCTGTTCGTTTTGTCCGATCCACTATTCGTCACGTCATATATATGCAGTACCACCTCCGTCATCTTCTTCACCAAAAACCCTATCTCTATCCCTAACCGAAACTCCCCCTCCCTCTCAATTCAAATCAGACACCCTAACCCTCTTCTCCTTCTCTATATCTCTCTCTGGAAATGAAATTATTCACTTTAATTCAAACAAAACTCCACCACTTTTCGCTGCCTCAGCGATTACGACTTCTGATTTGAATACCCTCGCCTCGATTTGCTAAATTTCTCTGTAACTCTCTCTTTCTTTCTTCTTTTTTTAATCTCTCTTTTTTCTCTTGTCTTCTCGTTAAACTGGTTTAATTCATCAACTCAGGCAGAGAGAGAGAGAGAGAGAGAGAAAGTGTGTGTGTTTATTATTATGACTTTTGTGTGTGGAAGCAAAATTCAGAATCTGGTTGTAAATTTCCACGGACTGTGTCTGTGTGAGTGGCATTTTTTTGTCGGTTTTTTATTCGCGGAGGGGTATTTCAGAAATGAAACAGACCCCGGAAGGTTGAGGAAATTACGGAATCGACAGCAATTAGCACAACTGTCTGCCACTGTGGTTAGCGTCTCGAGTTATGATTAGCCCGACTTGGATAAGTGGGCCTACGTACCACGCCACGCAATTATTAACGGTTAACACAACCGACTGCCTTATTTTCAAAATGACCGTAATACCCTTATCCGTGCTGGTATCTTTATCACAGACAAGGGTATCAGTAGTTTGAGAAATCAAGATTCAGACACATAACTCTTCGGGTGAAAATGGCAATTTAATCTACAAATCTTTGTAATAAAAATCTTTGGTATATTTTGTTTTTGTTGCGTCGATGTCGGTGATTTAAGATATTTCGCATTTGCGACACAATTAGGCATATCCCTGCCCCAGAGCAAGAATTCCTCGTTATGTTTTTTATCAGTAATGTTTGTGGTGTGGGTGTCAAACTCAAAAGTCTCTCTCAAAAACTTGGAAGGTAAACAACGATGCCACAAGCTAAGGTTTCGAATTTGACTTCTATTTACAACTTAGTTTGAGTAACACACGCTTAATCTTTAATTAAAAATATCAACGTGAGATACGATTTTCTGGAGGTGATGATACGTGTTATCATGAGATCACATTCTGGGGACTTGATCAACTGCATGAATGTGTGAAAGAAAAGAAAAATATGTTGATCCTCTATATTCACAAGCTATATATTCAAAGTAAGCCATACTCTCTTTCCATATTTAGGGGATCCTATTTTCTTGTAATTGGGGTGAGATCCATATCGACACGATATCAACTATTGATACATCGTTCAGATTATTGATACTATCGATAATTCGATATACAGATGTTGATATTGTATTTGATATGGATCCCACCTCAGCTACAAATAAGTTCAATGACTACTTGTATATATGTCAGAAGTGAAGTACTATAAAGGCCAGGCATCTCCAACCGATATGTCAAAAGTGCCACATCGACATTTAACAGCTAGAAATAACATCTCACACACTCCAACCGATGTGTCAAAGCTGATGTGGAATGAAGGCTGAAGATTGAGATGTTATTTTTGACATCCCAAAAGTAAGATATCAAATGAATATTTTATTATTTTTTCTTTTCTATTCTTTTTAATTAAAAATAAATAAACACTAAAATGTAATAAAATAATAATTTAATTTGACATATCGGGTGGAGTGTAAAGCTGTGTAAGATATCAAATTGCCACATCAGCCATCAAATTTAAATTTGATGTTTGGTATTTGACATCTCCCTTGGAGATGCTCTAAAGGCCAGGTTCAAAATAGACGCCAAATTTGAAAATGATGGTGGCTAGGCTAGGCTACACTATACAAAGACGAGGTCAGTAGGTATGAAAATGATGTACTTTAATCTAATTAAAGACAGAGAGAAATGTTTAAGTATTACATATTTAGTGATTTAGGATCGACACTTTTGAGTGGGGAGACCAAATCCCACTATCTCTCACTCTCACCATATTACACAGATTTGGTAGATTGCTTCAGCAAACCTAATGCACCATTGACGACATTTTAGCTTCCAGCTGGACTTGGGGCCTAATTGGCATTACTTTCCACTCATTCGATAGATGGCAGCACAAATTGCTTTTTAAGTGAAAAACCAGAACCGCAGAAAGTGAGAAATATATATATATAAAGTTGAGAACAAGATTCTTGCGTCTAGTGTAGTGCAGAACAGCTAGTTCGCCAGCTAGGAAGTTTACTTTTGAAAATATGCAAGCTTCCTATGATTCAGAGTCTCTTCTGTGTGTAAATATAACTCGTAGCTTTGTGGGTTCGGCACTTGAAAAACCAGAAATGCAAAAACAAATACATTATACATTTCAGACAGCAAACATGAACAGTTTCTGTAATTCTTTCAGTTACATACAAGATACATCAATAAGATAGAAAGAAGAAAATACTACAACATCTTGACAGTGGGGAAGATATAACTCAGAAATTCATTACAAGGTGTCGGATGATAATCGTGATAAAAGATGGATTAAAAGCAACCAAAAGAAAAATGAGAAAAATTTAATAGTAGTAAAAACCTCAGAAAGATACCTCTAAGTTTTGTCTCAGTGGTAGTGCTAAAGTGGAGATCTTTAAAATTCTTGTATGGTATTGATTGTATATTGATGCACAAGCCTAAAGCTATCTACCATCGTTGGTCATCAATTGAGAAAAAACTTGGCTTGTGTTAATCTCTAAACTACCATTACCATCACCTTCCTCTGTTCTTGCATTGGTAGCTGGATCTCCAGGAACAATTGTATTTGTTGGAAGCTCATTGATATCACCGTCTTCATGCACTTCTCTTCGCGGTCTAGATTCCTGAAGCTGAAGAGCATATTCTAAATTCCATAGTACATCACCAATGGTTGGCCTATCAGCACCATATTCAGCCAAACATTTCTCTGCCGTTTCTCCAAACTTCTTCAAAGAGCCTGGTTTGATCTGTCCAACAAGATGGGGATCAATAATTTTCTCAAGCATACCCTTCTTCTGCCATTGCATTGCCCATTCACCTAAATTCACCTGCTCCCTGTCAACCAATGGATCAACAGCAGGTCTAGCACAAAGAACTTCAAAGAGCACTACCCCAAATGAATAAACATCTGACTTATCAGTAAGCTGCTGCCTCCGGAAATACTCAGGATCAAGATACCCAAAACTACCTTTAACGCCAGTACTTACATGGGTTTCATTGAGACACGGACCTGATCTTGAAAGACCAAAATCAGCCACCTTAGGCACATAATTCTCATCAAGCAAGATATTAGTTGATTTAATGTCACGGTGAATGATTCCTTGAGCAAAACCTGTATGAAGGTAGTGAAGACCCCTTGCTGATCCAATGCATATTTCAAGTCGTTGCTTCCAAGACAAAGTTGGAAGCCCCGAACCATACAAATGTTTCTTTAAGGGCCCCTTTTCCATGTATTCATAAACAAGTATCATTTCTGACTGTTCTTCACAATAACCAACAAGTGATACAAGATGTTGATGCCGAATTTGAGACAAAACAGTTATTTCAGTCTGGAATTCTGGAAGGCCCTGCCTAGATCCAGGCACACCTCTCTTCACAGCAACCTTTGTATTGTCCCTTAGGACCCCTTTATAAACCATGCCAAAACCACCAGAGCCTACAATTAGATTTTTATCGAAATTGTTCGTTGCCAATTGTAACTCAGCAAAAGGGATTTTCAAGAAATGATATCCATTTGGGCCTGGAGATGCAAGTGCTGTCCTTTCAGACATTCTACTGTGTGAACTACCTCCATATATGCGTAAAGGTGTCCAACCCACACTTTCTGCAGGTGCAGGTTTCAGTTTCTTCTTCCTGCGTTTCAAAGCAAGCAGAAATGCAACAATTGCAAAACACAGAATAACAAAGCCTCCAACAACTGTACCCACCAAAATCCATATACTTTTCTTCTTAGAAACAGCTTCAGTCTGTAAATGGGAAACATTCACCATTCTCATGATCTCTGCCCCATTCAATATAGCATTCATCCTCACAGAACTGCTCAGATCAGAAGGACCAACGCTAATTTGTATAACCCCCGAAACATCTGAATCGACAACAAAATCAATATAGAGTGGAGATGCAAGTTCATTGGTTGCCAGTACCGATAGATCGACATCTCGGTATGCAGCATACCCGTTGATATATATATTAAAATACAGCAAGTTAAGTGCAGGGCTAACAATGTCACAGAAATGCAATCTAACTAAATGCCCAGAATTCGAACCCACTGGAAATTCCCATGTGATATTGAACCTTGCATCTGTAATTGCCTTATCCCTATTCATCTCCTGAGCAGTCATATAAACATTATCAGGGGCAATCTCTCGAGTTGCACCTCCTCTCTGATAATTTGGAATATTACTGGTGGAGGCACGCTTTGCGGCCGATTTCAGTACAAGATAATCCACATCAGGGACCCAATCCCTCCACAGAGTATCATTAAAGGGGGTCAGTTTGGAACCTCCAACGTTAATCCTATAAATGGTCTCTAAAACCTGGGAAGAAAGATTCTTGTATTCAACTACATCGGCACTCACCAACTTAGCTCCATAATCAACAATAAGGTCCTCAGGTGCTGAAAAAACTTCAATTGCGCTTACATATGCAAAACCCGAGTTGTCCAGAGGAGTAAACACAATTTCAAGCACATTTGTATCAATTTTCATTATATATTCTCTAAGCACATTATCTCTAACATGTAAATCAGTCAACAGCACAAGCCTATCAACGGAAACGCTAAAGTTTGCAGCTTTCAGATCGAAACCTTGAGCTACAAACGGTGAGAAATGGAAACGTACCATGTGAGTCCCATATTTCTTGATGCCGAAGCTATAGCTTGAAATTCTGGTGAAAACTCTTGCTGTGTGGTAAAGGGCGGGTGAATTGGGAGGTGGGTTTTGGTTGGTGAGCGAAATGGAACCCGACCCGGGTTTGTAGGAATCTCCAGCAAAGACCCGGTTGAAGAGCGAGGTGTTGGACAGTGAGCCACAGTTGAGGAGATAGTTGTCTAAGGGAGTGAAAGAGGCTGAGAAGTGGAGGAGGGAGAGGAGAGTTAAAGAGAGAAAGTGAAGGTTTTTGGTCTCCATGGAAGGAGGCTTTTTGGGGTCTTGAAGAGGTTCAGGAGCTGGAGCTCATGAGAGTGAAGAGTGGAAGACAAATTGTTGGGTTTGTGGAGAAACAGAGTCACAGAGGCCTTACTAATGGAAGTAAAGTGTTGAGAAAAAAATTATTTTATATTGAAGATTTTTGGACCGTTCTTATCTTGTGGACAAAGCTGTGTTTGTTTTTGACATTTTTGGCCAAGTGGGTAGAATTATATGACTTCCAGAAGGAAATGCTGAGCTGCATTTTGCAGGCTATATGGTTTTGCATGCTCCCCCTCTCCCTTGTGATATCCTCTGCCAAAAAAGGTCAAGGCTTTGTCTCTTCTTCTATGTTTCTCATGATTCTATATGCAAATGCTGCAATACTCAGGCCTAATTCTCATATTCTCTTTGTGCTTTTTTTCATGATTATTTTTAGGATATTTGAAAGCTAACCCAATCCAAGGGTCCCTTCTATTAATGTATAATTTATTTGTTCATCTTTTCTTACCCCCTCCTTTTTTTCTATTGTTGTATGTTTGACTTTATGAAACCATATATTATACATAACTGGTTAGAAAGTGAAATTTAAGCTGCACACACACTGAAAAGTGTTGACGCATATGCCAGCTCAGTGAAATTTGCAAGTGATAGAGCCACTGAGTATCTGAAAATGTTAGTGTCACTTTCATCTTCCAATTTCACGAAGGGGGGCTTCATGTGCTCAAAAGTTTGCGTAGGTCCAAAGAAAGAGCCACTCTCCAAATTCCTTTTATCATTTTCCGTCTTTGGTGAAGAACAGATAAGAGCATATACATACCATAGAAATTAAAGTTGAATACACGCGTCTTGTATTTATGCTCTTTAAAATGTTCCCAAACTTTATAGGTGTTCAATCATAGATTCATCGTGGTGGCCCAAGATCGTTGAAAATTTGATTCAGGTTGGTGGGTGGATGCCATTTCTTTTGACCTTCCAAGTAATAAATTGACACCTCTCTCTGATATGACATCAACTTTGTCTTTGCCTTAAAAATCATAATAATTTATGGGTTTTTAATTGTAGACATCCCTTAATTTTGACTCGATTTGCAATTGGATCCCCGAACTTTTTTTTTAGGCAATTACATCCGTTAACTCGACAAATAGTTCCAATTGAGTCTTACCATCTAACTTTGTCAATTTATCCGTCAAAATTGGGGGTAAAAGTGTCCTTTCCCGTTCTTCATCCATCATCAACCCCAACTCCACCTTCTTCATCCAACACACCCATATGAAACTAAGAAAACAAAACTTTGAAGAGAAATGAAGTAGCTAGCTACTGAGTGAGACATTAGTGATTAGCGTGTCTAAAATGGAGCTAGGGGGACTCACAAAAGCAACTCCTCTTCCTCTGCCTGCTGCCGGTCATCAATTAGGTACTTTTTTGCTATGTAATTAGGTCCATGTCATTTTCTTCCTTTTCTTCTCTATTTCTTAAAAATGAAAATATATATATATTGTTTTGTCAAGAAAATTACCATAAATTCGTTAAGTAAAATATAAGATTCTGCTTTTTTGGTATTTAAAACTCTTTTTACTTATTAATTGGAGCACGATGTCGTTTTATAGTTTTCCCCTTGTTTCTGTTCTTACATTCGAAACCGGAGCATCAGCGCAGCTTTCCTTTGCCTGATAATCTCTCTCTGCTTCGTTCCATCTCGCTATCCCCTACCCTCGACTCTCTGAGACAACAGGTTCGCTCTTGATTTTGTTCACGTAGCAGGTAGGTACCAATTACGCTTTAAAATTTCAATTTCAGATTTTTATATCTAGGGTTTCGTCTCAGATCAATGTCTTATTCACAGTTTAGAGTAGGTTCATGAAAATCTGAGTTCATTGTCATGAATCATGGCTATAGGCCAGGATCATATATTGATGTTCAAATTACTTTAGCCTTATTACCATAAAAAAATTGTTCTTTGAGGAACTCGAATGAAGGGGCAACACCGGATTAGGCAGGAATTTTGTTTAATATGGTTCAATTTCAAATTTTTAGTACATTATCTGAGTGAAGAGAGCTCTTACTGTTAATTACATGCAGGTTGCACGCAGAGTTTGATGCTCTAAATTTCAGAAGCTTCGTTTATGCTTGTGTGCTGGTCCTGCTGGAACTTGAATTCTCATCATATTCCCTTTTTTGTATCATGGTAAACTTATTTTCAAAAGCATTTTCTTTTTTTCCTCTTTTTAAAACCTTTTTAAGGTGTATGTTTAGAACCATCTTTCTGTTAGGATATGCAGCATATGCGGCTTTTCTCATGCCCATTCTTCCCACATTTGTTTTAGTTTCCTTGGCTTTGTTTTTTCTATACTTGTTCTGACAGTTGCCTTTCAGTTATTGCATTGTTGTGTTCTTTAATCTCGGTAGTTGTTAGAACTATAATTTGAATTGTGTGTGTGTGAGAGAGAGAGGTAACTCTATGAATTGAAAAAGACTTTGCTTCTGTAAAGGTTCTTCTTTTTCCCCACGGTAAACACTATTTGATATTTCTAGCTATTTGTTTATGTTTCTGTGACTGTGTGGGTTGGGGGAGTCATGTATCTATGTGGCCCCTGTCTGGGGCTGCCTGTGGTGGTTAGTGAATGCGAAAATGCCCTTGATATCTATATGAACATTGGACTTGAAACATGGACCTGACAGTGGAATCCAAGGTGATGGGATTTATATATTTGGGTAACCAATATTACCAGTTTGGCACTTCTGTATGGCCCGAAGGAAGCTTGTCCACCGGATTCAGCTTGAAAATGATTGCTTTGCAAAATAAAAAGAGAAGAAAGTGATTACTATTCTGACACTTTGCTGTTTGAGAACCATCAGTATAAACATATTATACAATCTTAGCAACATGTCGGAATAGTTTTTATTAGATATTTCATATTTCGTGTTAGATGGCATTACAGAATCCTGAATTGGATTGTGATGGATAAGTGCAGGATCCTAATGGTTCTGGTGATGAAAATAGTGAAAGCAAAATCTACATTGGTAACCTTGATCTGAGGATAACGGAGTAAGTAAACCTTTGGAATACCCGACCAAATATTGAATCTTTATTGCTCTAGTACCCTTGATAATTAATATGATCATGCTCCTGCATTTTCCAGGGCTGCTCTAATTAAGATGTTTTCTCCATTTGGGAAGATTGTAACTGAGGACTTTTTGTGGCACACTCGTGGCCGAAAACGTGGAGAGCCACGGGGTTTTGCTTTCATCCAGTATAGCAGCAAAGAGGTAAGTAAGCTGCTTGCTTTCTTATCAGTTACGTTTCAAGCAATTCCTGATTTCCACCGTTAAAGTAAGCATGCAGGAAGCAAAATTGGCCAAGGAGAAGATGCATGGGAGACTAGCATGTGGACGCCCATTGGTTGTTCGCGTTTCCAGTGAGAAGTACGCGGTAGAAGCAGCAGAAAATTCTTCAAAAGGAGCAGGCGAGGCAACCAAAACAAGCCTTTCTGGTAGTAGTTCAGGGCAGACGAGTCGGAGCTCTAAAATAGCAGCAATCAAGAACAAATTGAAAGCCTTGGAAGAGGAGGGCTTTAGTGCCAAGAAGCAGAAGCAAACTGACACATCTTTGCAGTGATATTGCTGATCATCCATCTGGCAAAAGTTAACAAACTACGGCGCTAAATCTTGCTCAATTTCAAGTTGTAATTAATCGAAACTTGCCAGAATTGAACACAATACACTTGATTCAGTTTCAGGATTTATCAAAACATGAGATGTAATACAAAATGACTAAATTGACAACCACAGAATTTGCTCAGCTGTTGGAATTATTTAGTTGGTTTAAGAAGGCTTTTTCTTGATCGAAGGTAAGGCTCAATGACGTTGAGACTAACGAATCGACCAGAGGGCAGTCAAAGATACGGAAAGAAATCAATCGAGTATGTCTTTGCTGGCCAATCTTGGCCTCGGTGTTTTGGCTACATTGTAATTAAACGTGTAATTAGTGCTAATGAGCATTCATCAAAGCTTTTATTAAAAACAAAAGAACATTAAATAAAGCTAAGAATTTGCTAAATTTGGATGATCATATTGAGCTCTCAACTTTCGCTGTCTGGCGAAAATAGAAAGAAAAATCACATGGGTAGAGCCGCGGGTTTGAGAAAGGTGGTGAGAGTACACGAACAAAAATATTTCTTTTCATTCCGTAATTGATGAGAGTTATTTACAAGAAAACAAAAAAAAAATTAATGAGAGTGAAGTCAATGACTCATTGACCGAGAGTACACTCCCAAGCGAACAACTTTCAAGTTTTCAACTTTAATCAGAATTTAATCTGTTTCCGATGGCTACGATGACATCGAGGCTCTCAATCGTACCTGCTCCTCCTCCTCGTTCAGCTTTGCCGGCACTCCAACCGTCAAATTTGTCTACCCGCCAAAACCCGAGTCTGAGTGTCCGTGTCTCCTCCTCACCCAGCACCATCACCAGCAGTAGTTCAGTAGCTGATCCGTTGAATAACAGAAGGCAGAGCTTTCTCTCTCCTCCGGCTCCTCCTAATCTAGGAGATCGATCTGTAGCCGTCAAATTTCAACTCAACGCCCCTCTCATTTCGTCTCACGACCAATGGGGCACCTGGACTGCTCTCTTCGCCACCGGCGCTTTCGGTATCTGGTGATCACATAATTCACAATCAAAGCTTTCTTTTTGCTTTTCGAGTTTCCAAACAATTCAAAATTCAGCTCAACTGATCTAAATTCAGTTCCTTTTTTGTTTTTAATACTATTTTAAAAGGTCAGAGAAGAACACGAAGATTGGGGCCGCATTGAGCGGGGCATTGGTGAGCACATTGATCGGACTTGCAGCGAGTAATTTGGGAATTATTTCATCGAATGCACCCGCATTTTCGATTGTGTTGGAGTTTCTGCTCCCACTGGCTGTGCCATTGCTCTTGTACAGGGCAGACTTGCGACGTGTGATCAAATCAACCGGGGCTCTTCTCTTGGCCTTCTTGCTTGGATCCGGTAATATTGAGTTCATGAATTTTCTGTTTCTGTAATTATTTCATTCTGATTTTTGATTGTTTGAGAAATTGTTAATAATTGAACTTCATAAAGAAAGGAAGTTAATTCTAATCTTAAGGCACCCTGTTCTATCAACTTTTGTAAACACAAGTTCATGATTTACTTTCCATAACTACTGTTGTATAATCCTTGGATTTATTGTGTTTGGTTTCTTCAGCTTATATTTTTATTGGATTATTACATGCCATGGAAGTTTCATGCTGTAAAAAGTTCTGACCTTTTTTAAGGCGTCATGCATTTTTGAGGAAGTTTATATTTCATTGCCATGATCATGAAAACTGCTTCCCTGTAGGTATAATGTTCTTTATTGGGGCAGATTAATGAATTAAATGAATATTTATGGATAGTCATGATACTTCTGTGGTCAACTTTATATGGGCTTTTTGGTTTCGATCTTTGCCTCCTCTTCATTATAACCTGTTGGGTCTTGATATTTGTCTTTTCCTTTGTGTTGCAATGTAGTTGCAACAACAGTTGGAACAGTGGTGGCATATCTTTTGGTGCCAATGCGATCACTTGGTCAAGATAGTTGGAAAATAGCAGCTGCTCTCATGGGCAGACATATTGGTGGAGGTAATCTGTTTACCACCTTATAGAGCTACACACACACAAATTGGAACCTATTTGTAATCGCCCTCCAAGTTTCTTATAAAAAGACTAGAAATTAGATGTAGTATTGCCACTATTTGCATATGTTGGTTATATATCCTAAGTCCTGACAAAGTTTTTGCAATTGGTTTTACGTAGCTGTCAATTACGTTGCCATAGCTGATGCTCTCGGGGTTTCTCCTTCAATTTTAGCTGCTGGGCTAGCCGCGGATAATGTCATTTGTGCTGTATATTTTTCAACATTGTTTGCATTGGCTTCTAAAGTACCTCCTGAGCCTTCAACATCTGATGATGGTTTGTAAACTTCTACTTTGTCATGTCATGATTGTCCTGCTTGTTTTTTTTTTCGTTTTTTTTTCTGGAGGGTGAAGAATTCCAGTAGCTATCTTGGCGGATTAATTATTGGTTCAGCTCCCTCATTTTCAATGGATGCAATCTTGAAAATATTTTAGCTAAATACTTTTCCACCTTTTTCTTTTCCAAAACGAATTCTTCGGTTGTGTGCCACATTGATCATGAAACAAATGTTACTTTGTCCATACTGTTGCCTCTCTTTTTCTTTAGCATCTGCAAAGCCAAAATGTTGTATATCCTGTCTTATCATGAGCTTAAAATATCAAACATGATGTATGTCCTAACAGACACTGCTGGAACTCTAATTGGCAGGCATTGGAAAGGATGCATCCTCTGAGCCTGGAAACAAGCTTCCTCTGATACAAACTGCTACGGCCCTTTCTGTGTCCTTAGCCATATGCAAGAGTGGCCATTATCTCACGAAATATTTTGGAATCCAAGGAGGCATCCTGCCAGCTGTAACAGCCATTGTTGTTACTCTGGCGACTGTATTTCCAAAACAGTTCGCATATCTTGCACCAACTGGTGAGGCTATGGCTGTGATACTAATGCAGGTAAGGACTTTTCTCTTCTTCCATAAACCAAATTTTGTAGGTCAATTAATGTCTCACGGAAGCCACCTTAATTGATAAAATTTTCATTATTCTCAATTTCTTTTATATCTGTCATAAGTGACTTCTTGTTGGCAACTGTTTGTGAGAAACAGGTATTTTTTGCGGTGGTGGGAGCAAGCGGAAACATATGGAGTGTCATTAACACTGCTCCTAGTATATTTTTCTTTGCTCTAATCCAGATTGCCGTTCATCTTGCTGTGATCCTGGGATTGGGAAAGCTATTGGGGTTTGACCTGAAGTTGTTGCTTATAGCATCAAATGCCAATGTTGGAGGCCCTACAACAGCTTGTGGAATGGCCACGGCCAAAGAGTGGAATTCTATGATTGTTCCTGGAATTCTTGCAGGCATTTTTGGCATTGCGATTGCAACTTTCATCGGCATTGCATTCGGGCTGGCGGTTCTTAAATACATGTAATGCTTTCCTACGATGATTACCTGAAATTTTCCAGACCTGTAACCTTTGTGAACCTGCAGGCAGAGAAGTGGGAAAGTTGAAAAATAAGTAGATAAACCCATTTGTAATTGAACAGCATGTATATTAAGATTTGTGGCATTGACCGAGTTTGAGAAGACAACTCATTAAGTTTTACGTAGAGTGGCAAAACATCTCACATGTTAAGATTCAAATGACAACAAATGATCACAAGTGATCCAAAGGTGCATTGTCCTTGAGCTCTCAACCTGCCACGTCATCATAATTGCTAGAAGGATCCAAATAGAACAAACGACAAGAAGAGCTGAACACCCACCCACACTCAAAGCTGAAACCTCAGTCTCAGTCCTCAAGATTAATCATTAATGGCGTCTTTCACATTGCCGTTCCTCTCCCTTCCCGCCATACCCACGTCATCACTTTCACTCTCAGTTCACAGTTCGGCATCAAAGCCCAAACTCACAAGAGTCAACCCCGGGCCCTTTCTGTCTCATACCATAAACAAAACGCTTCTCTGGCCATTGACTTCTCGTCAGAGCCGTAAATTCAGTCGGGCAACGAGGGTTACGTCACAGCTCAGGCACCCTATCATCGCTCCGGGGGACCATTGGGGCTTATGGACCGCTCTGTTCGCAACTGGTGCTTTCGGCCTCTGGTAATACCACTTCAGTCCAATTTACACTTAGTTACGTACATCTGTTTGGTTGCCTAGAAAATGTCATCGAAAAATAATAGTACGAAAAGAAAAGATTTAAGCTTTATGTAATTCACTGTCCAAAAATCATACTTGCTATCAAATCAAACATGCCCCAGTTCTTAATTGACCCCAGAGAAAATATATATATATATTTTTAAATTGTAAAAAAAGAGAATTTTACTCAAAATGGACATATGTGCTCGTAATGAATGACTTGGTTTGAGTTGCTGCAAGGTCCGAGAAGACCGAGATTGGTGGCATGGTGAGTGCTGCCCTTGTAAGCACTTTGGTTGGGCTTGCAGCAAGTAATCTTGGCATAATTCCTTTTGAAGCGCCTGCATATTCCATTGTCTTGGAGTTCCTTCTACCATTAGCTATTCCACTGCTATTGTTTCGAGCTGACTTGCGTAGTGTGATACGGTCCACAGGGACTTTGCTCTTAGCTTTCTTGCTTGGATCAGGTGATACTTTCTTGCTTGTGAGTCTTGACAGGCAATATTTTTTAGAGCATTGTAAAGACTAGCTTTTCTATATGAAAATGACTTTCTCACATAATTGTTCCTTTGGAATGCTTATATACTTCAAATTTGGTACTGATCACCTGTAACTTCTTGTATGTTACAGTTGCAACTATGGTTGGAACTCTAGTGGCATTTTTGGTGGTGCCTATGCGATCACTTGGTTCAGATAATTGGAAAATAGCTGCTGCTCTCATGGGTAGCTATATTGGTGGATGTAAGTGTCAGGACTGGCCTGCTAATTTTGAAGCTGTCAGCTTATGTTTATGGAAATTCAGTAGTGCAGATTATATGATTGTACTACCTTTCTTGATCTCTAAGTAGCAACATCATAATATCAATTTGTTGCATCCTAGAACTGAGGATAAATTATTTTACTTGTGTTCTTTGAAGCTTAATTTTGGGGCTTCAGAATTCACTGTATTTATTTATAGTTATGACTAAAATGTTTTTTCTCTTCTCCTTTTCTTTTTGGTTGATTTCTGTAGCTGTTAATTATGTTGCGATTTCAGAGGCTCTCGGTGTCTCCCCCTCGGTTTTGGCTGCAGGAGTAGCAGCGGACAATGTTATTTGTGCTCTGTATTTCATGGTGTTGTTTGCTTTGGCCTCTAAAATACCTCCTGAGGCCTTAAGATCAACTAATGGTATGAAATTCTCGTCCTATATATAATTTAGTTCAAGTCCTGCATACGTTGTGTTAAGCTGGATGATGTATGATCTCTCAATTATGCTCTGCTCTGCTCTCTCTCTTCCTGCTGGAACTTCTTTGGCAGATGATAATTTTTCTTTCCGGCCATTTCTCTAAGACATGCCAGCTTTAAATAATCTCTACCGATATTGCTTACGCATCTGGAAATTATTGGCAGATGTTTCATTGAAAATGGAGTCTAATGATGAGAGGAAGCTGCCTGTTCTAGAAACTGCTACTGCTCTTGCTACATCTTTTGTGATATGCAAGGCGTCCACATATCTCACAGGATTATGTGGAATCAAAGGAGGTAGCCTACCAGCAATAACAGCTACTGTTGTCGTTTTAGCGACTGTTCTCCCAACACATTTCGCTTACCTTGCACCTGCCGGTGATACTGTTGCTTTGCTCTTGATGCAGGTAACTGAAAATTGACCTCAAATCAACTATCCATCCATCTATTAATATAATATGATATACTTTACATGCAGCGGCGTTCTATGTATGCTTAACATGAGGCTTTCTTTGGAACAGTTATTCTTTGCAGTAATAGGTGCTAGTGGGAGCATATGGAATGTGATCAACACTGCGCCTAGTATTTTCATGTTTGCTCTAGTTCAAGTAACCGTCCATCTCACCGTGCTCCTCGGATTGGGAAAGCTATTTCGCTTTGATCTTAAGCTGATACTGTTGGCATCAAATGCCAATATTGGAGGGCCAACAACAGCAGGTGGAATGGCCAGGGCCAAAGGATGGGATTCTTTGGTAGTTCCTGCAATCCTTGCAGGCATTTTTGGAGTTGCCATTGCAACGTTTCTTGGCATTGGTTTTGGAATGATGGTCCTCAGACACATGTAGAAAATGCAAATTCGATTTTCCATCGTTTTGGTTTTCTTTTCATCCAATCGTGTAAATCATTGATATTGGGAATGAGTAATTAACAGGAGACGGTGGATGTTCATAATCTTTTTTGGTCTGAGATGTTCATCATCTTGAATAGGTCTCTATCATATATATTTTTCTTTATTTATTTTTTTTAAAAAAGTGAAAAGCCTGTAAAACAAATGCAAGTAGAAAAAACTTGGGTTGCGATGATATGTGCAAGAAAATTCTATTTCTCTTAATTCGAGGCTGTGTTAGTGATCAGATCTCTGTGGATAGATGATCAACAAATGTGATACAAATAACATGATTAACTCCACATCTTGTGCACATGAAAATATCAAATAGGGACACAAAACCATGTCGTTTCAAGCCTTCATTTAATTATCTTTTGCATATAAACTGTTTATGTTTGCGTTTGGCAACACAAAGTATGTCAACTCTTTTTTTTCTTGATGAATGTCAACTACTATGGTGTACTACCTGTACCATACTTCTCTACTTCACCCACTGGTCAACTGTACTTTCATTTCCCAAGAAAAGTCAACTATACTTGCCAATCTTGATATCGCTCCGAAGCACCACGCAAGTATAGTACGCATGTCCATGTAAGTATAGTACGCATGTGCACAATGGGCGCATAATAGTAGCAGCAGCAACCAAACATATAATGGAAATTTTGAATATGAGAATTAATTTCAAGTGGCCCTTTTGATAGAATAATTTTGTTCACATCATTACTTTTCTAGAGCCCAAAAGAATTAAGGACAGAAAAAAATATATTAAATTATTGAACTTGATAGAGAACTGTTATTCACACTCATCAAAAAGTCGTCGCGCATGCACCTCTTTACAATTTACTTGATTCGCCTTCTTTCTGACCTTAATTATAAACTAAAGAAGTTAATAAAATATGAGGGTGAGGAGTATATGGGTGGCATGGATGGTGCCTCTCTCCTCAACCCTTATGCCTATAAATTGTTGGAAGCTAATCTTTTAGTTGCATAGCAGAAGAAGGTGGGGTAATTTTCTGCATAGCTTTCTCAGTATCGAAACACTCCTCTCAAACGAAAGGATGGGCAGTCAGACAATGTTGACAAGTATTACAAGGTTGATTTTGCTTGTGGTGTTTCTTGGATGGCTCATGATTTGGACCATGTTGCCTACAAAAACCTACAAAAATGTCTGGACACCCAACCTACAAAGCAAGCTCAGTTCTACATATTTTGGAGCGCAAGGTTTTGTCTTCCTTCAGTTGTTGATGAATTGCTTTGCTTAATTTATTAACTTGTTTTGATGCATACTTTCTTTCTTCACTATATAATTATATGCTAACCATGTGATGTGTGATACTAATTACAGGGGTAAATCTTCTGCTTCTCTCCTTCCCAATGATGCTAATAGCAGCTTTAAGCTGTGTTTATCTCCATTTTCAAAAGCAATCAAATAGGTCATACTCAAACTCCACAATCTTATATACAAACTAAAAAAACTATATATACTCATCATCATCATCATCATTATTATGAACTGGTTGCAGTAGTGTAATTACAACAAGTCGCTTGACCTTTTGGAGACATCCGGCGGTTGTAAAGGCTCCTCTGGGAATTGTTACGGCAATGGAGCTTGCTTTTGCGATCATGTTCGCTGCACTCTTGGTCTGGTCTCTTGCCAACTACTTATATGTCAGCTTTGGCCACCTCCATATGCATAAAGTTGGCGAGAAAGTGTATGAATTCAATATAATACTTGTTGTTATTGACTTAAAATTCCAACCGGACATCAGATTTTCTCAACTTACTAATCAATTAACGCTTGAGTGTTTTTCGTATATATAAATATGGCAGGTGGGAAGCAAAGTTTCGAAGTGTTTCATTGAGATTGGGGTACATTGGAAACATATGCTGGGCATTTCTCTTCTTTCCTGTAACTCGAGGGTCTTCAATTTTGCCTCTATTTGGGCTCACATCCGAGTCAAGTATTAAGTATCACAGTTGGCTTGGCCATCTCTCGATGATACTTTTTGTTGCACACACCCTAGGCTTCATCATCTACTGGGGCATTACTCATCAAATGGCTCTGGTATATATTTTCATGTTCAAGTTTTTTTGTTCTCTTTAATTAATTCCCTCTCTCTCTCTCTCTCTCTCTCTCTCTCTCTCTCTCTCTCTCTCTAGATTTTAGCTTAATTGATTGTATTATCATGTATGTGTGCATGAAAATGATTTTCTTGTTTCTAGTAGTAAGAAAAAGAATCTGTTTGCGTCTTGCGCAGAGGTCTGTTGTTATTTGTTTCTTGTTTGATAGTATAGTGAGGAATCCTTCACAATCCCAAAGGGAAGAATTCAGTGGTTCAACTAAAACTCGGTGTCATATTGTTGATAAGATAGGAAAACATCGTAGCTAGGTAAGTTGATTCTCTGCAGGACCATCCAAGAACAAACATAAATTACGTACGGAGGGAAATGGAATATATATATCCTTCTACTATATAATCAATCTCATAAAACACATGTGATTAATTTATACGCTTAATTCTTCTCTAGGCAAGTATGTCAATATCACATATGTGATTATAATGTAACTATAATTAATTATTTTTTATAGCTACATACAACTATAGACTGACTCATCACGAATTAATTCCGTACACATTAATTATAAAAATGGCAATACATTATACACTCAAGCTTTAATCCATGATGAACACAACACAAAGTTGAACCCAAAAAAAAAAACACAACACAAAGTAACTTCGGCAGATTTAATTGACTTGGTGATGACGTACGCATTGCAGATTCTTGAATGGAGCAAAACTTATGTATCAAATGTAGCTGGGGTCACTGCAATTGTGTTTGCAATGGCAATGTGGGTGACGAGCATTCCACGGGTCAGGCGAAAAATGTTTGAAGTTTTTTTCTACACCCATAATCTCTACCCACTCTACATCTTCTTCTACATCTTGCATGTTGGTGCCTCCTACTTCTGCATGATCCTTCCTGGGATCTTCCTCTTCATCGTTGATCGATACTTGAGATTTTTACAATCTTACCAACGAGCCGGCTTAATCTCAGCACGAGTTTTATCATGTGGAACCATTGAGCTCAACTTCTCCAAGACCCAAGGTAATTAAATTAAATTAAACTTTAAGGCCATTATTTTATGAGTTAATCATAGAGAATTCGAACTTGGTTGTAAGGGGTCGTGAGTCACTGCACAGCTGCGCTGACCAACTAACTTAATTCACATATGCAATCATAATTATTATTTATTTCCTTATATTAACTAATAAAAATACGATTTTTTGTTCCAGGGTTGGATTATAATCCCACTAGCATCTTGTTTATTAATGTGCCTAGCATATCCAAGATGCAATGGCACCCTTTTACAGTGACTTCAAACTCTAACATGGAGCTAGATAAGCTGAGTGTTGTGATTAAGAGCCAAGGAAGTTGGTCTCACAAACTCTACAAGCAACTTTCTTCTAATCTGGATCATATCCAAGTTTCTGTTGAAGGACCTTATGGCCCTGTTTCATCTCATTTCCTAAGGCATGAGGCTCTGGTGATGTTCAGTGGAGGAAGTGGAATTACTCCTATGATTTCCATAATCCGTGAGATTATTTTCCAAAGCACCAAACCTGACTGCCATGTGCCACGTGTACGGCTCATCTGTGCCTTCAAGAACTCAGCTGATCTATCCACACTTCAACTATTGCTTCCCATCTCTTGGGCCCCTGCTGATTTTGCTGCCCACATAGACTTGGAAATCGAAGCCTACGTGACCAGAGAAACAGAGCAGCCTCCGGTAGAGGCCCAAAGGGCCATTCAAACAGTATGGTTTAAACCCGACCCGCTGGACTCGCCCGTTTCTGCGGTTTTAGGCCCAAATAGCTGGCTATGGCTTGCTGCAATAGTCTCGTCCTCATTTGTCTTGTTCCTCTTTGTTTTGGGCCTCACCACTCGTTTCTACATTTACCCAATTGACCACAACACTGGAGAAATTTACGATTACTCCTTCAGATGTCTTTGGTACATGTTTTTGGTCTGTGCCTCCATTTTCATGGTGTCTAGCTTAGTTTTCCTTTGGTGCAAGAGACAAAATGCCACGGAAGGGAAGCAAGTTCAGAACGTGGATGCCTATGGAACTCATGTTCAAGAACTTGAAAGCCATCCACAGAATCAAGAGTGCCCAATTGCTCAAGCCACCCAGGTGCATTATGGAACAAGGCCTGATCTCAAAAGTAGGTTATTTAACCACTATTATAAGCAGAACATCCTATTAATACACACAGTTTTGAAGAAATTAATGATTATGGTTTTTTGTTTATAATATTGCAGAAATTCTGCTGGGGTCCAAAGAATCTGATGTGGGAGTGTTGGTGTGTGGGCCAAGGAAGATGAGACATGAGGTTGCTAAAATTTGTTCATCTGGTTTGGCAGATAATCTGCATTTCGAGTCCATTAGCTTCAACTGGTGATCAAATCAGCCTGTACAGTGCCATAATGCTATGTAAATTCTGTATAAAATTGTGTGTGTGTGTGTTATTTTTGGGTGGATTGGATTGAACTCAATAGTTGATGTATAATAATAATAATAATAATAATAATAATATGGAAGCTCTGCTCGAATTGTGCAATTAATGTTGATTTTTATATAGCCATTGCAATTTGCACTGTTGCACATGATCTATGGAAAACGGTGAGGCATAGAAGGGCAGATTTTTTTTTACCTTTATTGTACTGTTTTTTGGCCGGAGTTGGCCGGACGGACCTTCATTGTATTAAGTTGTCTTTAGGTTTTGAAGTTTTGTCAACTTCTTTTTATTCCATGGCAATGTAAAGGAATGGCAGTTGTTAATTCATATATATTAGACGATACCTTCTATATTTCTTAAAGACAAGACTTATTTAAAAAAATCCCATTTCCACTCAATTTTCTTCAACTTTAAACCGAAAAATATTTAAGAAAAGATATTACGTTGTAGAGTAACATATAGGTAAAGGACAAATGTATATGCAATGAATTGGGGAATGAGCAGGCGGAGGCAGAGCTGAGGCGTTGCATGTATATTTATGCCAAGGACAAATTGACAATTGCATTGGAAGGAACACTGCGAACAGTATACGGTATCTCCAATGACCTTTTATTTGCACTCTCTCACTCACCATCCATATTACAAGTCAACCATCTTGTTTACAATTCCATTTTTAACTTTTATTTTATGCCTAATTTGGCTTCCAAAACTCTCTCTCTCTCTCTCTCTCCCTCTCTCTCTCTCTCTCTCATTTTTACTTGTGAACTCACTGAAACTCTTGACATGCTTTATGATTCTTTCCCAAATTTTATTATTATTATAAATAAAAAAATTATGTCTCAAATAATTTTTTTTTTTTAAAGGTTAAATTTACGTAATATGCAAGTTATATATAAAGATATCCAGGAAACCTCTTTACTGGAAAACAGAGAGATGGGTTTAGGTCCCGAAGGGCTAAAAGAAAAAGAAACGTCTTCTGGTGCAGGAATGAGGACCCTTGAATCAATGGTGCTGTTGCTACTGATGGTGGTATTTTTTGGGTACATGATGATTTGGATCATGATGCCCACCAATACTTTCTACCTGAATTGGTTTCCTCACATTCTTAAAAAAACTGATTCTACCTATTTGGAGAAACAAGGTATTGTTTTCTTTGGGTTCATAATTAAAAACCAAAGCTTTTTCACTTTCTTCTGCAACTCTATGACTCAAACATCTTAGCCTTTCCCTTACTGCATTCTGCTCTGCTGCCATGGTTTTTTCTTCTTTTTTTTCCAGGTGCAGAGGTGCTTATCTACCCATTCCCCATCCTATTTATAGCAACTGTGGGCTGCTTTTTGCTTCACAGGAGAAAGAAGAAAGCTCATGAGAACAACCAAAGGTACCCTCACACACACACACACACACACTCTCTCTCTCTCTCTCTCTCTCTCTCTCTCTCTCTCTCTCCATATATCAAATATTTTTCTTATTTTATTTGCTCTTTGATTGGTAGGGTGCAATGGTCATTTTGGGCATCATGGAAGAGACCGGCGCTGGTGAAAGGTCCTCTTGGGATTGTTTCTTGGATAGAGCTATCCTTTGTGGTGATGGTCATTGCACTACTTGTCTGGTCCATCTCTTCGTATCTGCATAATATGTTTGCAACCGCACACGCCGCAGTCAAGGGAGAGCAAGTGTAAGAAATTTCTATTTGTTTTTTAAACTTGAGAATATTTAATATAATTTCCTTCATATAAATAATTAACCAGACCAGATGCTTAATGAACTTAATTTGGCAGGTGGGAAACAAAGTTATCAATTGTAGCACTAGCACTAGGCCTAGTTGGAAACTTCTGTCTATCCCTTCTCTTCTTCCCTGTAAGCAGAGGCTCTTCCATTTTGCAGCTCATTGGCCTCACATCAGAGGCAAGCATCAAGTATCATATCTGGCTGGGACACCTTGTCATGACCCTCTTCACGGCTCACGGCCTCTGTTACATCATATATTGGGCCAACACAAGCCAAATCTTCTTGGTAAATAATAAATTTCCACTTCTCATTTAGATAGAAGGTGATTTGGTTAACTTATATAATTTAGAAATGAAATGAGCCAGCCATTCTCACTTTGAAGCAGTTTTGTTCTCCACTGTAGATGTTCAACTGGGACAACTTTGCCATTTGCAATTTGGCTGGAGAAATCGCTCTGCTCGCCGGATTAGCCATGTGGGCTACAAGCTTCCCTCGCATACGCCGCAAGATGTTTGAGCTCTTCTTCTACACTCATCATCTCTACATCGTCTTTGTTGTCTTCTACGTGTTTCATGTGAAGTTCTCCTATGCTTGCACAATGCTCCCAGGCTTTTACCTCTTCATCATCGATAGGTTCTTGCGTTTCTTGCAATCACAACAAAGAATTCGTCTGGTTTCGGCACGTGTTCTTCCATGTGAGGCTGTTGAGTTGAACTTCTCCAAGAACCCAGGTGAAGAAAGAAAGAAAGACAAAAACTGAAAAAGAAAAAAGAAAAGAAATTTGAGATTTCCCATTTTAAATCTTTTCATTGAATTTGATTATAGGACTCAGTTATTCTCCAACAAGCATGCTGTTTGTAAATGTACCTAGCATTTCAAAGCTGCAATGGCATCCTTTTAGTGTTACTTCCAGCAGCAAATTGGATGCTGACAAGCTTAGCGTTGTCATCAAAAGCGAAGGAAATTGGTCTCAAAACTTGTATCAGAAGTTGTCATCCACTCAGCCCATAGACCGCCTACAAGTCTCAGTTGAAGGACCCTATGGACCTGTCTCAAACGACATGCTAAGGTGCTTACATTGTAATCCCCAACTCCCCAGTTTTTCATAATGTCATAATGTGAGTGCTAAGCTAACTTGATTGGCATGGTGAAATCCGGTGCAGGCACGACACGATCGTGATGGTGAGTGGAGGAAGTGGCATTACTCCCTTGATATCGATCATCCGGGAGCTCCTCTTTCGGGCCAATAACTCAGGCACTAAGACCCCACAGATTCTGCTCATATGTGCTTTCAGGAAATCACTGGACCTCACCATGTTAAACCTCATCCTCCCAGTTTCAGGCACAGATTTGGACATTTCTTGCTTGCAATTACAAATTGAAGCTTATGTGACAAGAGAGAGAGAACCCACATCAAATTCCCACAAGCACTTCCAAACAATATGTTTCAAGCCAGACCCTTTAGATGTACCAGTTTCTGCAATTCTAGGCCAAAACAGCTGGCTTTGGCTTGCAATGATAATATCTTCCTCTTTTGTTATCTTCCTTGTGCTCCTGGGCATCCTCACACGATTTTACATATACCCAAATGAGCATGACTATAAGATGATGTACTCTGAGTCTTCTAGATCTGCTTTAAGCATGTTACTCTTATGTGTCTCCATAGCCACAACTGCAACAGCAGGGTTTCTATGGAACAAGAAACAGAGTGTCAAGGAGATGGGACAGATTCAAGCCATAGACACATCCACGCCGATAACTACTTCACCAAGCGCATGCTACTCCGGTGGTGATCAAGAGCTTGAAAGCCTTCCCCATTGGTCCTTTGTCGAATCCACAAAGGTGTACTATGATAGAAGACCTGATCTTAAAGGTGAGTTATTTTAAATCAAACCACTCAGAATCAGTTCTTTAAGGGATTAGGGTTTTAACATTTGATTATTTTGCAGGCATATTGTCTGATTGTGAAGGTTCAAGCATTGGGGTCCTTGTTAGTGGCCCAAGGAGGATGAGGCAAGAAGTGGCTGCAATATGTTCATCGGGCTTGGTCAACAACAATTTACATTACCATTCCATGAGCTTCAGTTGGTAAAACTGAGATACTAGACACAGAAATATTTTCATGGCTGATTAAGACGTTGCTTCGCCCACAAATCAGTCGCTCTGCGTAGCTGATTAGCACTAGAGTTTAAATATAGAGAATTTGTAATTGTATAAAGAAAAGCGATTGGTTCTTCATTTACTTTTTTCACATTGCAATTCAAGGAGAAAACCAGTCCGCACAAATGCTTGTCACTGAAGAATAAGGTCTAAATATTACCCTCCACGAAAACAAAGGAAATTTATTATTTGAAAAGCTGAGAGAAGTGCCAAAGCCAAAAAAGAGACTCTTGACACCATAAGTAAACACATTATAAGAAGGAATCAAGAAAGGCCTTAAACTAAAAAGCTTGCCATTCTTCACTAATCATTAAAATTACCTAAGGTAAATAAAAACAAAATTCAACATGAACAAAGCAACATTAGGCCCTTCCTAAAAAAAATTTTGCCTAGCCGCAATCAGAATGGCAAGGGTAGCTTCCACAAGCAGTGCCAGACGCCGGGAAGAATACGAATATTTGGACTTAACTATCACAGTAAGAAGGAAAAAGAAAAAGTGAAAATTGGGAAGAACTCCTATCTGCCAGAGAACTAAAACATCGATTTGATGAAAATGCCTGCAGAGGCAAAGGTGATGAAGATTTTCCTCTCAAATTATGCATCTTGCAGTCTAAATGAATTGAGTCGGAGCAGGGGCTGGAGTTTAATGCCTAGTCAACATTGGAACCTTAATTTACCCTTCTCTTAGCTATCTCTCCTACGTAAGCATCACGAGGCCGTCTATCGGCAGCTCTATTGTCGCAGTCATCGTAGTTCTGTGTGTTGCGAGATGCAAAACGATCATCTTCATCATAACGGAACTGACGGACAACACCATCTGAATCATAACGCCTCACACGATGAATGATCTCAAATCTTCCATCATGTTTTCTTCTGTCATCATCACTGCCCTCATATCTACATTCCCTGCCACCACCACTGGCCAACTCAGAGAATCTTGCAGGACGACTCATGGGTTCAAAGTAATCATCTGAACTTAATCTCCGAGACGAACGCACTGAATCAATCCTCTGTCCCTGCTGGAACCGCCTTCCAGCTAATCTCCTACCCCTGAAATTATGGTCTACACCACTATTTGAATCATCAAACCATCTGGAATTCTGTTGTGGAGAAAACCGACGTTTTGGTGGGGACATGAACCCTCCTACTTCGTACTTTGCTCCAAAACTGTGCTTCTGAAAGGGCACTCTCGGCTTATCCATTTTAGAATCCAGCCTATAATCAGGAGACCTGCTGCCACGATGTCTTGAAACATCATTCCGTTCTCTTGGTAAACCCCATGAAAGAGGAGAACGACTTCTGCATCTAGACTGGAACTTCTTGTAGGGTCTACCATAATATATAGGTCCTCTGCCAGGAGGTGAAGTGCTTTGTTCTCTCCTGGCCATTCGGCGTGGCACATTATAAGAACATTCGTTGGGATCATCAGGCATTGGCCTGTGGTACTCCTCCCGGATGCCTCTACTAACCCCTTGTGGGTATCTTCTAAACCTCCGCCTATCGGGACTTGTATCTCTCATAGGTATCACTCCCCTATGCATATTATGTGTGTCATTTCTCTCGGCTGGCGATCTTCTTCTAAGCGGGGGCTGATACAGGCGATTTGAGGAAAGACTTATAGCTTGCCTGCGAACACGGTTGTGAACTCCTGCTGCTTCTGAAAATGTATCATCTGGATCCATTTCAAAACCATGGCTCTCAACAACACTTTTTGGTCTAGGGCGGCCAGAACCAAAGGAACCATGATAACTGGGAGATCCACGGCGTTTGGAATCCCAATAACCCCCTGAAGGATTAACCAAATGTGCACCTCCAGAGTTTTTACTATGCATACGCGAATCAGATTTTTCCTTTCCCATGGACTGATCAGAACCAGCCTCTTCAGAGCGAATAGACATATCGAAGTTGTGCAACCTGAAGCAAAAAAAAATAAAATTGGTAACCAAGATAGAAAAGTCAAAATTGGCATTAAAGAAAGAAAAAGATTTGAATTTACCTCCTCCTTGTACATACAGGACCCATCCTATTTAGAGTGGTGGATGCCACTGATCCAACCACTTCAGCAGGAGAATACTTGCCACCAAGGCCATCGAAGCAATTAGCAGCATGTCTCCTTCCTGTGCAACCCTCAGTTGCTTCCGCAGTTCTGTTTGAAGAAGCTTCAGAATCACCAGGCAATTGATCAGATCCAGAAGTTTTTGTCTTCGAACCCATGGAACATTGTCTCAAAGAATGTTCATTTTTTTCACACATATTATCAGATCCTGGACTCAAACCTCTCACAACCTTCGCATTCCTGTTAATTTCCCTAGACTCTGACCCAAATACTTCTGTTTCTCTGCATTCAAGTCCCATTCCAACTTTCCCTGATATAGAGTCATGTGCAGCATCACTGTCACATGTATCAGAACCATAGTCAACACATTCAGCTTCTTCATCCTCAAATTCATTCTCCTCCCAATATGGTACATCTGATTCTCTCAACTCCCCATCTTCATACTGAGATTCGTAACCGGCTTCATGTTCCATAGTTTTTTCCTTGCCAACCATGTGATCCTTATCATCTTGACAAACATCCAAGTCATAGTTGTCATTGGAAGGATCTTCTGTAGTGACTCTACCCAAGCTACATGTGGTACCTGCACCATAGTGGTATTGCTCACCAGAGGAGGATCCAGCTGCAGCCTTTGGTAGAGAATCAACAGTATGAGTCTCAGAGATAGCTTCAACTGGTTCTTTTGCAATTAAAGTCACCAGAGAAAGGCCTTCTCCAATAGATGCACCTGATGCAGATTTATCATCACAATCAAGTTTGGAAATGTCAGCAGCCATATTCTCTGTTTTAGCTACAGGCTTGACTTCAAGGACCACAGGTGCGAGTGAGTGACAGCTTTCTACTCCCATCATCTCTTCAGGGGATTTTGGATCATCATGGAAGCTAGATGTTGCACCAGAGCCCTTACCATCGTCATCTAGAACAGTGCTTTCAATCTCACAGGAAGCCCCCTCTGGCACACAAGCTATAGCAGGGTTTTCAACCTTTACACTTTCCAAACAGACAGTTACACCCAGTTGTACACCTGGAGCAGTATCTTCTGTCATATGCTCAACAGCAAAGATGGGTGTTTTATTGGTTTCCTCAGAGACAGGGCCTGTGACTGTGATGTCATCGCAAGGAGAATGATCAACACATGCATCCACACTGGCATCCTGAGAGGAGGCCTTTGCACCCATTCCAGTATCTTTTGAAGGTCCCAAAGCATTATCAGCAGGAACGCATTTACCATAACTCATCTCAAATTCAGGGCACGCTTTCAATCCCTGTTCATCATTGTCGGCCATGGGCTGCACTGTGCTTGCAATGTCATTTTTAGCATCTTCAACCCCCAGTATCTCAAGAGCTTCTGAACCCTGCTTATTATTCATCGAGATATCATCTACTGCAGTTGTTTGAGGGTCACCAATCACCATATCACAAGGTTCGTCCCAAGCATCCATAGTAACATTTAGGTCCCAGTGCAACCTAACATCTTTCGAGGAAATGGATCTTGCTACTGCTTCGTCGTGTCCTTCGCTAGGATTAATTCTGACTCCATTAGCCTCAAAACTGGAGCTCTCTATCTTATCTTCTTGTGGTATATCTTTAATGGACGAATGCACTGTTTCCAGTGATGCAACACTCTCTTCCAGGATTGCAGAGACTGATGCATCTCTTACTTCTGAAAATTCTGAAGCAGTTCTCATCTCTGTTGAAGAAGTTGAAACAAAAGTTTGCTCCGAGGGCCTTGCAGAAGTTGACGCATCTTTTCCATCCTGTGATAAATCTTCACCTACTAAATTACCCTCAACAGGATTCACATCATCATTTATGCTGTTGTTGCAGGCAGCAGCTGCCAATATCTCAATACCAGAGAAGTCCTCCCCACCACCAGGTTTTTGATTTGTCACCTCATTTAAGTTCTCATTAACACCACTATCAGCAACACTATGACACAACCTAGTCAGCGTAGAAGCATCACTCCTTGTGGGATGCTTTTTGACAATTGATTTTGGACAAGACTTCTGACCTGAAGCACGTCGCCCATCCAGTTGAGGTTGGTTGTCTTCAAGGTGTGGAGAAGATAGGTGAGGCGGGGGTGATGGAGACCGGACCATAAATCTCCTTTTCTTAATGGGTACATGCTCAATTTTGTCACCGAACCGTCTCCCAAGTACAGCCACACCAAGCTGCAAAACAGACAATTATATCAGAAACGTGAGGACTGAATCAGATAAGTACTCTTTTTTTAACCAAAAGGATTAGTACAAAGAAAAAAAAAAGGAACAATTGTGCAGTATTAACCTTCTCTGATTCAGAAACGGTTGTTTCTGATGGACTTCTAGCACTTTTCTCTGCTAGCTCTGCACCCAATTTTTGGCTTCTATCAACCGGTTTCCTTGACCGCCTTGGTGCACTCCGATAACCCTTAATAACCTTCCAATTCAAGTCAGTACTAATAGCTTCCGTAAGTTCTACACGTACTGTATTCATCATGCTTTAGCAGAGAGACCAAATCCCATCAACTGTTTGCCTGCCGCCACAGGTTCTACAAGATGCTGCTGTTACTTGCTTTCTACTAGGCACCAGAGTGGTGGGTACACCCCCAGTGCAAGCACAAAATGAGTCTGCAAATCAAATGGAAAATAATTATATCTACTGAGTCAAATTGCGAACAGAAAAAATCTTCGAAATATATGACATGAAGATGCAGAATGAAATAACTGAGACATGTCAATATATTGCATCTGTGGCAGTAACATCATTAAACTTAATATAATTTCAATATCCAGTCACAAAACTACAATGAGAATATAAAATTTATCCTTTGAAAATATTAATCACAAATCCTAGAGGCTTACAATGATTTAGTTTCCTTGATCTTGCTAGGATATGTGACAAACTTTTCTTCAAACCCACCAAAGGAAACAAATTCCTGATAACTTTTCCACCTACCACACCTGAAAGATGCAAAAAAGATGAAGATCAGCACAGAATCTAGAACATAAACAAGAAATAGCGGATATCAGTTGAAAAAAATGCTTAACAAAGCTAGTCTGAAAATCTATAACATTGCTATTGAGCCCAAAGCTGATAACTAGACTGCCAGCAAATGCCTCCACAGGCCATTACCTTGAGGCAGATCGTGTTAACCAGTTTTGGAGGACTGCAAAAACTCCCTTGGTTCAGAATGTTGAATTGAACATAGCAAGTCCCTAATACTCGAAATCGGGCTTCATTTTGCAACCATATAGTATTAGGACAACAAAAAGACTTCTTATAACATAAACAGGACAAACAGTTCGTTCATTCAAACTAGTAGACCGAGTCTAATATACCCAAAAAAGAGATTCAGCGCAATGGTTTTTAATTCCTAAAGATAATTTCCACCCACTATTTGGCCAGCAGAGAGCAGCAGCAGTATTCTTAGGTTTCATGATATGAAAAAAGGGGCATTTCATAACAAGTAATTCAACTTGTCGTGCTCATTATCACCAGCAACAAGAGCAGGCAGAGTCCTGGCCTTGAAAGAATTAAGATTAACGACAGGCCCACAAACTTTGCATAGTAGATTCAAAGTCTTCGTTATGTTCTGAAGCTTTCTTCGATCCATATAGATGGGCACATATAAGAGATGACTCAGTACTGGAATGATGAAGTTAAAGGACATGGAGATTCTGCTAAAAAGCAGATCACCCAAAACCCATAGATCCAGCCATATAAAATTAAAAATTATTTATTCAAATTCCCTATCATAATAATTTTAGCATCCATAGAACAGGGCATGCCGCCTGGAGAAACCCCAACTAGTTTTTTCCTTACTGCAGCGAGCGAAACCCTTCAATCAAAACATCAAGATTTGAGAGCCGCAGTCGATCAAACACGATATAAAAAAACTCGTGGATCTCGGCCCTGTGCCTCTACCTATGGTTATATAACCCTAAAAGCCCATCACCACTAAGCTCCGTGAAATCCAGTAGCGCGCTGATGGACAACTTGAAGAAAAAGCTGTAGTTCTTCAAGATCTGTAATTGGACTAGTTCTTTAATGGAGGCAGTGACTACAGAGCCCAATGAATCAGACATTGGCACAAATCCAGAGTCGATAAGAAGCCGCTTCATGGTTTCGCTTCGTAGTAGTTTTCTTGACCGACGAAGAGGATGATGATGACAAAGATAAAATTAACCACAAAAAAAGCGCACGCAAATTATCAAAAGCTTTTAGGGTTTTCAATACCTGTTCTTTCAATTTTCCAACAATCGCCGTCACGGTCAAAACGAATCGAATCGATCAACAACGAAGAGACTCCAGCCCCTAACAATATCAAAATCCTTCATAATCTGGCCAAAGCAAACCCAAAAACGCTTTCGAATCTGATTGCTCTTCGTCTTCGTCTTCTCCTTCTTCTAGGTTTTAAACAAAGAAGACGAATCTCAGTCCCGATCTTGATCGTTTAATAAGGGCCGTAGATTACCGGGCTTTGGAGAACAAACGTTGCACCTTGTGGCCGCTGATTAATTGCCCTTCTTCTTCTTCTTCTTCAATCTTCTCTCCCCACTTCCTCTTCTTTCTTGTTTGGATGAGAGCATAGATGAGAGCTCTCTCACACCACGTATTTATGGCCACTATTGTACCAATACTGCCCTCCGTCCTTCATCATATTACCCAAAATATCCTTAAAGATTGCCAAAAATCAAATAACACGAATCTCGAAGTCAATAGTCAAATAGTGAGCCATTTCTGAGGAAGGAAAGGAAATTTTGACTTTTGGATCTCCGGAATTATGATTTACGAGTGAGTACCCTGACCATCAATAATTTATACTAGACAACTTCAGAAAGAAGGAGAAAATTAATTTATTTGAGGACAGATATGCTTTCTTTTTGGGTCTTAACATTTTTGCATATTTGTATTTATGACCCTTAATGTTCTGCTTATTCCTTTTTTAGACCCTTACATATTTCTGATTTACCATCACCAATAAGTTAGGGATTCTGATGAGGAAAAGAAAAGAAAGTAGGGAAGGAATAGGAAAATCAATTCGCAGAATATTGGGATTTTTAACTTCTTTTCTTTGTTCAATTACAATTAAAACTGTATCACCTATATGCAAACCTTACTTACCCACCATATATATTATATATTGAGGTGCCAAATTTAAATTACAATCACGCAATTATTAAGTTAATGCATCATTAACCTTCGTTAAAAAAAGAAGGTTATGCACCAAAATTATAATTAATGACATTCTCATTTTAATTAGGAGTATTTATTTTTGGCTGCACAATTTCATAAAATTTTTATTTTTATTTTTATTTTAAAAAGGAAGGAAATCTCCACAATTTCTCTTTCCCTAACGCATTACTTTTATTCCACGGAAAGAACCCCACCCACCACAAGCAACCAGGCCCCACACTAGCAAAAAGTCCAAAAATGATGCCCTTTCTCCCTCTCTGCGCAAGGAAACAGCCTGATCGCATCTGAGCCGTCCATCTCATCCTCCACAACTGTGGGCCCCCACCAGTGCGCACTTCACGGTCAACAATCCAAACTCCGCAATATACAAACCATTCCTGGCGTCGTATATGACTGGTGCGTGGAGTGGAGCCTAGGAATCGCTTTCGGCGTAAGCAACTAGTCCTTGCTCAAGTTTGTTACTTTTCCTCCCAGAGCCCCTAAAATTTTTGGGGATTTTGTTTTTGTTTTGGGGCTTCAAAGTTTGTGTATTTTTGTTTCATCATTAATTACCTGTTTTGTCTTAGGTTCGGAAAATGTTTTGTACTTTGTGACCAAAGAAAAGGGAATCTAGCAACCTGCTTTGAAATTGAAAGGAACATCTGGTAAGCATTATAAGAAAAACAATTTCTGGAGAATTAAAATGGGCACGTACCACCGAACAACAATACTTTCTTATTTGTTATAAACAACAATACTTTCTTGATGACCTAAAAACTATAACAATACATCTCAATCATCCTCCTCCAAAGAGGAGAAGAATCAAGGAATTTAGCAAATGAACCACTTTTGACAATTTATAGATGTATGCGACATCGTTTGGTCCAATCTTCTATAGTCTATTGAAAGAAAGTTTGACAAAACACAGACTGAGTAGTAACGATACCGGTTGGATGTTGTGATCCGAGGGAAACCTGGAAACTTAGTATGACTTTGCGAAAATGGCAACTTCCTCTGCAGGATTACCAGTCATCAAGCATCTTTTAATCCCCAGCGGCTGTTCAAAAGGAAAACATCTGATGGTTGCCCCGGTTTCCTCTTTTACTTTTAACTCATCTTCATTACTGTACCAATCATTGCAGTTTCATCACATTAGAATCATAAATGCAATTTACCTCAATAGTATACATTATGCAATGCATATTTATCATGCAATTAACAAAGACATCATTTAATAGAACATACCTGGCGGACCAAGGACCTCTTGCCCATTTGCCCTGGGAGATTGCAACTTTGAGTTCATCATATGAGCTAACATCCAGAATATTGCTGCAAAAAGACATTCTTATTGTCAATACCTCCACAAGTATTCCAACCAAGTGCAAAACGCTTCCAAAGAATAGATATCTAATCAATTGCATAGGCACAGCATTGAAAATCCCCCCGGATTTCTAAAACGAAAGTGGTGAAAAATTAATTGCAGACACGGTGTAACTATAACCACTACCTGGCTTGACAAACACTAGCAAAAAGCTTTTAGTTCTTATACTGAGGTTTACTTCAAAGAGTTCATTGGGCACTATCAGTTCTTTTTTCCAGTGATGCTTTATAAAATTCGATGGACGAAATTGCATCTTGAGCTCATAAAAACTATTCAATGTTAAGAGCACGAAAATGCACCTATCTCGAAATGATTCTGCTTGTCTCAAAAGAGATGATTGGATCTCATCCAACTTGTCCATCACATAAGCCTCCAAATTTGAAGGCTCCATGGATATTCCAAAAACTTTCCCTTGCTTTCCAGGAACATCTCTTCTAGATACAACCACACTCCCACTTGAAACATCACGAGGACCAATTTCAATCCTCAAAGGAACTCCCTACAAAACCAAGGCCTGATATTGAGGTGATTGATGATATAAGTAGCTTCGTGCAAGAGAAAGAATCAATATTTGATTTGTGCAAGCAATGGTATCAGCACACAATAGAAACAATATGCTCACAGTAAGTAGCACACACACTAAAACCAACTCCAGTCTGAGCATGAGGAAAGGTCAATTTCAGGTCTTATTTTTCCGCAATCTTTGAATTCATAACAGGTATTAGGAGAACATCCCAGTCAATTTTCATTCAAGTCAAAGAATGAGATAATGGAATGGCTAATATGTGATGGCTTTTCAGTTCTTTTCATTCTGAGAGCTTTTATATAAATAAGCTTCTTTCAGGTCATAAGATTAATGTGCTAAAAGCAACATGCCAAAGGGTAACAATTACATTTTTCTTTTCTTTTTATTTAGTTTTTTTAGTGAGAAACCAAAGAGTATCGTTTATGATTTATCTTTAAGAATCAGGACAAACCTTCATCTCCCAGAAATTGAATTTCCATCCTGGGCTTCTCTGATCAGAGTCATCAAGTTTAACTTTAATTCCTGCAGCCTGCAGTGCTTCTTTCACAGATGATGCAGCATTGAGAACTCCTGCTCTATCATCACCCTTCTTCCAAATTGGTTTGGTTACCACCTCTAGAAGCAAACAAGGAATTTATTGAATAAACACAAAAGAAGAAGAAGAAGCCATGTATGCATACACACCTGGGCAGACACAACATACCAAACAAGCACAGCCAAATTGAACTCTAAGCATAACAAGGCATGAATTCTTAGTTATGAGAACAGAGAATGTTAAAACAAATAATCATGTGCTGTGGGAGAATATATTAATCCAACTACAACAAGCCAGAAAATCAAAAGAAAACTTTCTCTTTTCATAACTGGCACGAACTTTGCCATTCCATGCATCACAATTTTCCGTGTCTATGAGATGCATTTTACAAATTTGCTAAATAATAACAAGCCACAAACAAGGATACATATTTTAAAGTTAGATTACTACAGCAGCCTTTAGCTACTCCTCTCATGAAGCCATTCACAACTATTAGATTTTCAGTACCCAAACTAGCAAGGAATCAACCCAATGACTTGCGACTTTAACCAAACTAACATACAAGTTTCCAGTTTCCCTTATACTAAACACAGCGTATGCTAAGACACTGACATCAGCATATCATAGATTATACTTCTAAAATAGTCTATTACAGAAGATAGTCTTACTGAAGCTTTTGGTTTACATCCATTCAAGCAAATGACCACAACTCTAAGAATCTGCATCAGCATCATAAAATGCATAAAGGTCTCCAACTTAGCACTTTACCTGTATCGGTGCAATCTTTGGGGGAAGCATTAACCCTGTATCATCTCCATGGGTCATAATAATACCGCCAACAAAACGGGTACTGACAGCCATGAAGTCTGCCACACATGTTGCCTCTTTCCACTTTCATCAGTAAACTGCATGCACAACTTTTGGTCAAACTCCTCTATATTTGATGGATTGTACATACAATTAGAGGATACAAGCTCATGATTATCCAATCACAGCAACAACTTACACAAGTTGAATGCTTTAGAACGGCCATTAGACATCATATTGACTTGGATAGAATAGTATAAATGAGGCTTTGATTTTCTGAATCATCTGGAATAAAACTGACCAAGAACCACACTAGAATATCAAAATACCTGTGTTTCAAATGCACGAGAAAAATTCTGCCCAAGATTGTGGCTGGTTCCAGCCTGTAATGCCTTTCGATCACCCATCATAGCCTCTATTGTGTAGGTCCTAACAGCACCAGCAAATGTTTCCACTTTTGACTTTCGACCTGCAATAACAGGTATTGCAGCTTGCTCATAAGCAAATTTTGTATACACATCAATCATCTGTATAGCCTGCAGTTGAGCAGAACTAATGTATTAAAGAAAAATGATACTTATTTTGCAACTGTTTAAGGGCAGTCAATATGTCAGACGCAAACCTCTTTTTCTGCCTCCTCTAGAGTGGCATGAGCTGTGTGTCCCTCCTGCCAGAGAAATTCGAGAGTCCTCACAAAAGGTTTTGTCCGCATCTCCCATCTCGTGACATTTGCCCACTGAATTAATTTCCCCATGAGAAAGACCAAAGCTTAGTGGGAAATTCCTCTAATGAAAATTGAAGCACTGCAAATAATGAGACAAAGCATTATAACTGGTTAACCATAAGTGGAAGATCACGGTAACTATGAATCCACTGGGTGAACCTGCGATTGACTATGGTTTCACTCGTGGGTCGAACCTGCCAGAGCCTCAGGAAGTGCAACAATCAAAGCCACACCTTAGGTCATAGTTACTCAGTAACTTCAACAGTTGAACACAATATGATTCAGCTTTTACAATCACATACACATAAAGAAGAAATACAACAAAAGCTAGTTGAAGAGAACAAGCACCACAAGTTTCTCTTCAAGGTCCTTCCCTCCTCCTATCGTCACAAGTGCTAACTCAGGACTAAAACCTTCAACATGGCTAGCTTCTTTCTCTATAAACGAGTATGGTATAAACTGCAACATTCCACACATCAAACAACTCACAGTTATAAGCATACATTACGCATGCAACACTTGAAATTGGAACTCATTCGTGCACTTAACTGATTTGACCATGACCATAAAAATAGCAATAAATCTATAACTTAGCATCTAAAAAACAAAAGCAAAACAAAAGAATGCAATTCAATACCTGTGGGAAATACATGTTACTGTGACCAGTCTCCTTGAATTTCATATTCAGATAATCCTACAAAAATGAAAATTACTTTAAAAACTGTGAACTGAAAACTAATGCAACCAATCCAATAGAACAGAGGAGGTCCAGCTTGGAGTACCTGAATGGCTTCCCAAATGGCGTAACCGTAGGGACGAATGACCATGGTTCCGCGAACCGGACCATAATCGGCGAGCTCAGCTTGTTCAATGACATCAAGGTACCAAGCATTGAAGTCCTGTGACCGAGGTGTAACACCTCGGTCCTGGACTCGGTTACTCTTTTGAGTATGGACTGCGTCCTCGTTGGACACCGACACCGTGCTCTGAGCGGAGAAACCGGCTGCGAATACCGGGAACCAGCGGTGGTAGCGTCGCAGGAGCACCGCCGGATAACGGCCGGAGATGGAGGGAGAGAAGAGCGAGCTCAGAGAAGGTAGTCTGGGTGACACGAGCATTTTGGTGGCTCAGTGACTTGACACTTGAGCGTTGGGGGAGAGACGACTGAGATGAGGTTCATGACTCGGGTATGTTGTGTGATGACGGTACATTATCTGTCATGGTTGTTCAGTTTTCTTGGCCGTTGATTTGTCAGTCAACGCTCAGCGCCATGGAGAGCGAGGGGACAGTATTGTTTTTGTGGCCCAAATCCAAGAGAGTAGCTCTTCTGCCCGTTTCGGATTGAGCTAACGGGTCTATTTTTCTTGTTCGTGTAAGAATGGCCCATGAAAAAGTTTTATTTTTTTATTTTGGATCTAAAGCCCATTAAAAATCCCGGTGGCTACGCTTTAAATATATTATATTTCAACAGTATAGCCGGTCGGCTATACTATTAATTTAAAAAAAATTTGACAATACACCGAATTACAGCCGCCCGGCTATACTCTTTAAATATATTATAGGATTATTCGCAACAATGGTCCCATAAATTATACCCCAAGTTACACTTTGGTCACTGAACTCAAATATTAGTTGCAGAGGTCACTCAATTAGGTGTTTTGTTGCACTGTTAGTCCTATCGTCAAGTCTCTCTAACGGTAGGGACTAATGGTGCAACACAACACCTAATGGAGTGACCAAAATGTAACTCCCAGTATAGTTGAGGGATCATTGCTACAAATAATCTTAACTGAAAAGTCACATTTGCCCATCAATAATCTAAGAGATGCTTGCCACGTCATCATTTTAAACAGAAAAAGTAACAGACTTGACGGTATGACTAACGGTGCAAAAAAACACTTAATTGAGTGACCTCTGCAACTAATATTTGAGTTCAGTGACCAAAGTGTAACTTGGGGTATAGTTGAGGGACCATTACTGTGAATAATTCTATATTATATTTAAAAGGTAACGCCGTGCGGCCATACTATTTAAATATATTATATTTAAAAGGTACAGCCGTGCGGCTATACTATTTATTTAAAAAAATTCGGAGAGATCTGCAGCAGTTTCCTCCGACAATGGGTGAAAAGTAAAATTAATTTAAAGACCAAAAAAAAAAATGTTTATTGTTCTGCAAAAAGAAAAGGATTTTGACTTTTAAGGCGAGGATGGTTCCTTTGTGCAGTGAGATGGGTACTCAACTTCACTTTTGGGTGACACAAGTCTGATAATTCAGCCCATCAAATCCAACACTCGTATCATTATTATTCATTTCTATTGGGCACGCATCATAAATTCTCCCTTCTTCTTTTTTTTATAATTTTGATTGCCATAATTAATATGGTAATTTAATGTTTCTCTCCCACACCACATTTTGCTACCAAAGCATAGGTAGGCACACCCCCCCCAATATCATTATTCTCTCATGAACAATAACCTTGTGGAGAATTTCACTGGGTCGCCAGACAGCTGCAATAACTGTTTGCTGTACAGTCATTCATGACGCAAATATTATTATATTATTTTAGTTAAACTCTTGTTAATTCGATTTAACGGTTGGAAACAAATCTTTATTATATCATGAAAGTGGTATTTATTATTCTTAAAAACCTACTTTAATAACAACCGAAATGAAAGTAATAATAGAATGTTAAAATTAATTAAAGAATAATAAACCATTGATATTGGATTGAATGCCATGCCATCGTCAAATCGTCTAATCGTCTAATTTAATACCCCAACTAACAAACTCACGAGGCACATTTTTTTGTCCTGCATTGTCTTCATGTCAACGGATTTATACTCGAAAATGTTTGGTAATATTTTGAAAGAAAAAGAAAAAGGAAGACTTTGTATGGTATTAGTATTGTTTTACAATGGAAGAAATCTTCGAAAAGCAAATACCTAAAGTTTCCCTAAAAATAACATAAATACAAGGAGAACCGAAAAGAAATAATAAAAAAAGAAATGTTTATATATATGAGTGGAGTGGAGCCCTCATGGTTGGTACTTTTGGTAATACAAACAAGTGCAAGCAAACCACATTACATTGGTCAGCAAAATTATACCTAACGCCACAATCCACAATTCACATTTAACCCAAAACCCAAAACCAAACGACAATCATAAATGCAGTGAGGGAATAAATTTTCAGGGAAATCTAAACACCTCTCTCATTTTTATTGTTTTTTCGTTTGGTGGGCCTTTTTTCCTCCCCCTTTTCCATTTTATCAGGGAAGCCTACAGCCTACTTGCTGCCTACTGCCTACTGCCTACTGCCTACTGCATAATAATAATAATCATAAGAGTATTTTTATAACAATTAATAATAATAATATTAGCCAGAAAATGAAAAATTATAATTATTATAAAAAACCAAAAACCAAAATGACAGAGAGAAAATGAGTTAACGCCAAGCGGATGCGACGGTGAGCGTGCGGCTTATCCAACCAAAACAAACCCCTCCATTCTCTTCTTTAACCGTGAACCCCGAGTTGACTCGGTTATTACCCGAACTGAGTCGCTGCTTCAAAATCTCGGTCACGTTTTGGCTCATGGGCCTCAACTCGAACCCCGCCATCCCCATGCGGGCCCGCCACTTCCCAAACACTTCACATCTTTCCACGCGATCCCTCCCTTCACAAGCAACCGAGTTTATTAGCTTCCGACTCAGCGCCTCCTCCGCCTTCACTCGCTCCGAGTTATCCCTCCCCTCCGTCCACTTCATTGATTCCAACAGCGCCCCGTAATACCCGCACGTCTCCTTCACGCGCGCCATGAACGGGGCGGTGTTGGTGTTGAGCTCCTGCTCAACCAGCGTCACCACACGCGGCGACAGACCCTTCACGCGCCGCAGAAGCTCGTCGCGGGGGTTGTCCGTGGACACGCTCTCGTCGGGCATACTGTACAATTTGAAAGCGAAATTCACGGCGATCGGCTCGTCCGGTTCGCAACCTAGTGACTCACGGTTCAGCTCGCCGAGTTTCTGGCTCACTATGTTAAATTCCAGGACCACACCTTGTTGCTTCGCGACTTTACTCAGATTCTGTCTTACCATCGTCAACCTGTCCTCCCCGCCATTATCTGCGACGGTGGTGATCTTCACCGTGGCGGGCATACCATTCAGACGCGCGGACAGCGCGTGCAGAAGGAGCACGTACTGACCGCCCTGCCCGATATCGAAGTCAATCACATGAACCTTATTGGTCGCTGATTTATCCGTCAACGTCGCTTCCAGGATTGCGAGGTTAGCTGCCATAAACCCGAACCTGAAACAGGGGGACAGGTCGTAGAGCAACTGAGTCGACCCGGCGTGTTCCTGGCTAAAGAGCTCGGTCACCGGAGGCGGATTATCGACCGGGTTGACCCGGGTCTTCAAAGCTAAAGCCATGACCTCGAGAAGCCTCTGCTCGGAATTGGGTCTAGGATTCGGAACCTGTGACGTCGTCAGGCGCGTGAGGATCTCAGCCGCGGCCTCAGATTTCCCTTCGGAAATGGCCGTAGCGGCCTCCATAAGCGACTGCTTGGAACACGTGGAGGAAGCAGGGGAAGCCACGGAGGACGAAGAAGACGATGACGAAGTGGGGGAGGGCGAAACGGGCTTCTGGCTCTGACTCGGACCCGGACCGATCAGGTTCTGTATCGTCTCGGACCACTCGCTGCTGGTTTTAGTAATGACCGAAACGGCGTCGCCTTCGTCCTCCTCGTCGTTATCGTCGAGGAGCTGTTTTTCCAACTCTTGCAGCCTGTTGCTAATCATTTTCTTCTCGGAGTCCACACCGGAGACAACCCGGGTCTGATTCTGAACCGGGTTGTTGTTGACGAAGGACCCGGCAGGTGGTAGCGTCTGATGAACGGGCTGAGGGCGGAGCTGCTGAAGAAGGGGCAAGCCGAAGCGTTGGTGAGACATTAGCGACGATGCCGAGGACGAAGAGTCAGAGCCAGTAATTGTCGATGAAGAGGAGAAGTCTATGGGCGAGAGAGGGGATATGGGAGAGGAGTGTTGGAATGTTCTGGGTTTGAGTGAGCGTAAATAGAGGTTCTGGTTAGGGTTGTGGTAGTGGTGCTGCTGCTGATGGGCTTGAAACTCGGCGAGCGTGCGCTTGCCGGTGAAAGTTGATGGGTTTTGGTTTTGGAATTGGGATTGGGATTGTGTTTGGCGGGCGATCTGGGAGGAAGAGGTGTCAAGGAAGAGGCCGGGGAGTGAAGATCGGTGGTAGGGAGGCTGAGAAGGGTGCTGGTGGTGGTTGTTCATGGCTGTGGCGATGGAGATGGATCGCCCGCCGGCGTAGAAATCAGGTACACCACCAGCTCCGGCTCCACCTGTGAAGCCTGATTGCATTTCTGTCTTCCTGCTGTTTTTCTCAGGGCTTTTCAGAGCAAGGGAGAAGAAGGGTGAAAAAGGCTAAGAGAGGAAGAAACGCATGGGATTTTGGGAAACAAGAGGAAGAGACAGTTTCGTTCTCTCTTATTATCGCCTTGAATTCATTTGTAATTGTAATGAAATGAATATAACAAAGGCAGATTCCAACTAGAGAGAGAGAGAGAGAGCGAGCGCTCGTAGCTTTGCTTTCTGGTTTTTGGTTTTTTAGGTGTCTTTTTTTCATTATTAAATCCTAAAATTCCTCAATGAATCCACGCGAATACGTACGCCATCGCGTTTCCACCGTTAGATTAACTTTTGATGAAGATTTATGGCGGTGAACGGTGGATGCTCCGCGTAGATATACTCTTCGCTTACAGCTTAGGCCTTCCGTTTTAAATTTACAATCAAGGATCCGCACGAGATTTCAGTGAGCGTGAAATCACGGACCAATAGAATGAGACGAGGAGTTCGGGGCGCGTGGAGACAAAGGCTTTGTGGGGAGGTGGTGGGGTGTGTGTTTTTACGCTTGAGTGAATGAGATGATCTTTATTCGGCTATGATCATCTGACAGGACAGTTACGAACTATTCCAAAAGGCCTTCGACAAGAGCCCCGAAAATGCAATCCAGAACACCGAGAAAGCGACACCCTAACCACGTGTAGCTAATGGGGTTGTGCTTTCAGGCAACGGTAAATGACGGCCTCGTCACTGTAAAATGGTTCCTCTCTGTTCGCTAGTTCGCGGATTCGAAATTCCAGTAGCTGGTTTGTCCTAACGGACGATTCCCGGTTGAC